CGAAAAAAAAAAAAAAACAAAAAAAAAGAAAGAGAAAAGAGAGAGAGGAGAGAGGAGGGGGGGAGAGGTAGGAGAGAGAGAGCGAGAGCGAGAGACAGAGACAGAGACAGAGACTTTGGCTTACATGTCCGTCATTGGAAGAAGCCGAGGCAGGAACTGAAGCAGAGACCACAGAGGAACTCTGCCAACTGACTTGCTCCTCATGGTTTGCTCAGCATGCTTTTGACCACGTGCCCAGGGGTAGCCCCTCTCCCAGGGAGCTCCTCCCACATCAACCATCGATGAAGAAAATGCTCTACAGTCGGGCCCACAGGTGACCGAATGGAGGCATTTGCTCAGGGGAGGCTTCTCCCTGGCTACTCTAGCTTGTATCAAGTTGACAAAAACCAATCAAGAATAGGCACCATGAATAGCAACAGTAGGGGAAACTAAGTCTTTTAAAGAATATTAATGTATTGTTAAAAGATATTTTGAGAATCAGGAAAGTATAGTGCTCAATGGTAGAGTGTTTACACAGCTCAACAATGACATAGCGTTTACATAGCTCAACAGTAGAGTGCCCCCATGGCATGTACGGTATGCAGGAGGCCACAGGCTTGATCCCTAACTGGAAAAAGATAAATAACAAGAGAAGGAAGGGGCAGGGTGTGTGAAAGAATAATGGGGACCAAGCACACCCCACCAAGGAAGACACTTGACTGCTGGTTCTTTGGTGAGCCACAGGTGAGGACGATTAGGTCATTTTGAGCAGGCTGAGCGGGGTGGGGGGGGGGGCTGCTGCAGGGAAGCAGGAGAGTAGGCGGGGCTAGCTTAGGTTCCTATTGCTTCAATAAAGATACTAAGATCAAAGGCAGCTGGGGACAAAAGGGTGTCCCATCACAGTCCACCCCTGGAAGAAGCCAGGACAGGAACTGAAGCGGAGACCATGGAGGATCTCTGCATGCTAGCTCGCTAACAGTGGAGAGAACTTAGGAGCCTGCCACCACAGTGAGGGCATGGGCTGCCCCCGTATGACCTCTCAGCAAGCAATACTGAGGTGAGCTGATGATATTCCCACAAACCAGCGGGCTTTAAGAGTGGCCCAAGAACACACCCTCAGGAAGTCCTCAGGAAGAGCTGTGGTTTTACACTTCTGGAGCTGCCCAGAATCATCCAGTGTTTTTTAAAATTACTCTTGTATTGGGGCAGTGCAGCCTCTAGGAGTGCAGCCTCACCTGGGGACCCTGATGTCCTCCTAGGCATCAGGTGAGACATTGAAACTTGTGTATTGTCACAAACAGGTGGCCACAAATGCTTTTCACAGGCTGTGACCGTCACACAGATGGTCCCAAACAGAAGGTCCATCCCCAGAGAAGAAGCTGAACCATCCAGGGAAAGCCCGGGGCATCTAAAGTGCAGGAGCCACACAACCCAATCTAAATAGAGACAGAATATGGGGAGCGTTAAATCTCCACGACCACAGTGAGAGCAGGGCGGTTCTAACCTCCCAGTGCTCTCCTGAGCCTCTTGCTCTAGACACTCTCCCAGCCACTGGAGAAGGTAAAGATGCTGCTGTCTCCAGACAAGGCATGTCTCAAGGGGCGCGGACATTGGCAGCTTGGAGGTCAGCATGCCAGACAGTGCAGCATCTAGCATATAACAAACTGATCTTTTTCTGAGGGATGTGGCAGGGGATGGGGGGGGGGCTTTGGGGTTTGTTTAGGCCACTGTAGGAGCCAAGATCTGTGTTGGGGAGGTAATGATCCAATGAACCAAGACAGTGGCCTGACCAGGATAGACATACACAGAGGATGAGGCGTGGCTCGGCCCGAGACACACCGTGCCAGTGCGTGACTTTAAGGGGTGCTGTAACCAGCACGTGACTTTCAAGGACTAAAGCCAGTACGTAACCACCAGGGAGACTGAGGCTGGCAACTGACCGCCCATGCACTGGGGCAAAGACATAACCAGAAACACTGAGAGCAATACATAACCAGGAACAGGGACCCTGCAACCACTAGTGTGGCACCTTGGCTGCTGGGGCCATAAATGCCATTGCAAATGTCTAGATACAAATATCAGGAATTAAGTTGGGTATGATGTCTCATACCTGCAATCCCAGTCCTCCAAAGGCTGAGGAAAAATTGTTCCATGACTTTGAGGCTAGCCTGAGCTATAGGGAGAAACCTTGCCTGGCGTTTGTTAAGGACACGGAGAAGTCTGTGCTACCCACGCATCAGCACACGTCATTTGGAAGGTTTCTGTGAGGTGTTTTTAGGTTCTTGTTTTGTTTTGAGGCATAGTGCAGCATTGAATGGTTTCCAGTTCCTAAAAACAATTAAAAATAAGAACAATTCAGGAACTCCTACAGAGCCTCTTCCCAGAACACCAAATGTTCGCAGGATGAGGAGGGAGGAGGCTTATTTTATTCTGGGGAGCAGGGCCACAGTCCACTCCCAAAACCAGACCCATAGCAGCTCTTCTGTGTGCCAGTTTCCACAGAGCTAGTCAAGGCCTTTGAAGGAAGAGAGAGGTTTTCCTGGTAAACACGAGGAGGTTGAAAGGGGCCTCGGACTGTCCCAGCCTTCCTTCATCCGTTACCCACGGGCACCCAGGGACTTACCACAATCTAACTCTCTAAGGGCCTGTGGTGTCTAAGCCACCTGGGAGGTCAGGGGAGGGGTGAGATCCCTACCTGTGGGGGAAATCAAAGCGGGCGAAGCAGCAGACAGGCAAGGTGAGCACCTTTGTTCTGAGTGCTGGTTGCTCAGACCTGGCTAGGAGCTAGTCACTGCAAGCAGAGAGATGCCCCTGCTTTGCCCCGAAGGATCCCAGACCCTGCTAAGGATGCAGACATGGAGAGATGTGGAGACAGATGGCCTCTAAAGAGATGCTGGGCATGTTTCCAGCTCAGCCAAGGACAGAAGACTGGGTACAGGCAGGTGCTACATGCAGCTGCAGGAACCAGGCAGGCTCTGCAAGGGTCTGGGGCTAACAGAAGCTTGCCCAGGACGTCTGTGGATGCCAGATGCCCGGTTGCCCTAGTCCAAACTCCAGGAAGCGGGAGACATGCCAGGTATTTTACAAAATTGGCCACAGTCGGACAGTTCTGAGTCTAAAGGGTTGTGTATCCACATCAGCAGCACAGCTCTGTATAACTAAGTTCAGGGATATCTGGTGCAGGCCAGTGGCTGAGTTCCTTAGGTCTTTGGAGACTTCCTCTTGCATACTGCAAGACGGTGTATGTCTGCACACTTCTAAAAGCTTCCTTTGGGGAGAGGTGATTGGCATATAACATACTAGTTTTGTGAAGTTGAAAATTATAGATATTTTAAAAATTATGTATACACGCAATTGTACACACATGCTTGCACGTGTGCCATGTCATGAGTGTGATAGTCACAGGAGGACTTGTCGGGGTTGATCCTCTCTATCCATCATCAGAGGCTTCGAACTCAGATCCCCAGGTTTGGCGGCAATCACCTTGACCTGCTGAGCCGTGTCTCCAGCCCTGTGACTTTGACATACACACCCACAAAATCACCGACATAGTCATGATGGGAAACTGCTCAACGCAGAGCTACCAGGGGTAGTCCCCACCGTGTGGGTGCACGCTCTCACTTCTCTTCGTGGGCGGACTCGGTGGGTTAGAATATGTTGTGATAATCTAACCTCACACAATTCCGTAACTGGAAAACCCAGGACCAGTTTTTAAACCCTCTTCATAATATTGTGAATGTTGATGAGAGTTGTTCCAGGTGTCAGTTTGCCTGGACTGAGGGACACCGTCATAGCTCCAAGGGCTAATTTATGGGAGGGTGTCCTCAGGAATTTAGAGTAGAAAGGGGAATGGCCTCCACCATTGGTCTTAGTGTGCAGTGCGCAAGACTTGCTGGAAATGGCTGTGCTGTTTTTATGTGCTATCACACGGCTTGTTGTTTTAGAACATGCCCTTCTACCTACATGAGTTTCCTGTACAGAAAACCATCGCATCCTCATCCGTCTCCTCATGCCATCCCGATGCTCAAGGCCCGGGCATGGCTGCAGCAGGGCCTAACTCCACGGGGAGCAATCGTCTGGAACCCGAGTATTTTTAAAATGTAATCTAATTTAGATTTCCCAACAAGCAATCATGAGAGATGAAGAAATCTGCCTTCTGCTGGCCTGAAGATAATCAGAGAGACCTGTAAATCCCTTGACATTTGGAAGGTAACTAGGCAGTTATGACAACGGCACACGCTTCCTCGCCAGACCCAGATTCCTTCCTGTTTGCAACAAAGTATTTACCACAGCCTTGGGCTTCCTGCCTGGACTTCCTTTCCGTGAGCTAGGGCTCAGTTGTTGCCTAAAGGACAGGTCTTCTAGCCACTCCCACATCCAGGAGCAAGCCCTGCCTTCAGAAGACTCCAAGAACCACAGAGTCCGAAGCAGACAGGCCTGGCCCTGGTTGCGTACCTACTGTGTGCCTCACACCGCGACACTTCTCACATACCGCCTATTTAATCCTCATGTGTGTATTAGAATGCGCGCGCACACACACACATGGGTTCATGCGTGTATCAGAATGCACACACACACACACACGGGCTCACGCGTGTATCAGAATGCACACACACACTGCTCACACATAAGACTAGCTCTTAATTCCAAGTCTACGTGGAGACATGCCTCAGTGGTGAGTGACAGCTGGGCAGATACACATCTGGCGTGATCTGCACATTTCTTCCTGATATCCACCCGAGACCAGGTAGCTTTATGTGACCTCCTTTCCACTCTTGTAACTGCGCCTCTCTTAGTTGCTGTCCTCAGCATCTCCTCTCGACTCCAGGAGTCTCTTCCTGGTTTTAAAGAGGCTGCCACTGACTGTGAATCTTTGCCATCCCTGCTTTCACTGCTGTTCATTTCTGCTCTGGGTTTAGGCTTTGGAGAAACAGGAAAGGGAAAGGCTTTTGAAAATGTCCACTGTCCCTCTGCCATAAGCTCCTCCAGCTCCATGAACCTCACAGTAACGAAATGCCCTGCTTTGCGTCTGGCTGGCTGTGCAGCCCACTCTCTTGGTGCATACTGAGGTCCTTTGTCCATTTCAGGAGAGGGGAGCTGGCCTAGGTGTCCAGGAAGACTGGAGCGCTGAGATTCAAGGGTTCTCTTTCCGGAGTAAAAGAGATGACAGCCGTGAGTCCTATAATCAGAGCAGGTCTCCTAGGAGGTTCATTTACCCCATGTCTTCCTTCTTAGATGGAGTCTGGACCAAGAGATACTAAAAATGTCCTGGAGGATGATCATGTCCCCAGACTCTGGGTTAGCCTCTACCACCTGCAGGTAAGAGCATTTAGAGGCCAGCACTCTGGGTGAGCCTGCACCCACCTGGCTCTGGAGTGAGGGCTCAGAACCCCACATCCGTCAGATTGCTAAGGACCCCACTGATGTGAGGAGACAGGTGATGGCTGGACCCTAAAACAAGGACACAGGCTTCATCTGCTCTCAGCATCAGCCACAAAACTTGGGGTCACCTTCCCGAGGCATATCCGCAGTTTGGCCTTTCCCCACAGCTATTTGGATAGCGATGGCCGGAGCCCTTTGTCATCTGCCGGCTCAGGGCTGAGGAACTGGGTGGTGCTGACACATGCAAACCCTCCTGAAACTAAATCGCCCGTGAAATGAAGCTGGCGATGAATAATGCAGCCCCAACATCAGGGAGACGGAAGCAGCCGCGCTCCTGCATGGACAGGTGGGAAGTGAGCTCAGCAATGAGATCTCAGCGAAGACATGAATTTTTAAAATTAATAACATTTCAGAACGCTGCTAGAAGGATTTGGCCGCGGTGACAAATGATATAACTCATTCTGGATGAAAGTCGCAAGTGAGTCTCTGGTGGCTCACATTTCCACAGGACACGTGACACCCCACTCCCAACCCATCCCACTGAATGGGGTCTTTCCCGGAAACCATCAGTTTGTACGATGTCTCCTGGTTTAGCCAGAAAGTCTATGAAGCACCCTGTTCAGCAGCCCTATCCCATGGCTGAAAGGAGAGAACACACGCACTGGCCGTCCAGGAAACAAGAGCCAGCCACTCACTGGGCCTGGGTGCCCAGAGCGTATCAAATATTGACCTGTCAAGGAGGACAGGCTTGGGCAGTGGAAGGACAGTGGGTGCAAGTTCTGCTTACACCCTATGCCATGATCCTGGTTAGGACCCCTAGCCCACTGGTCGTGACATCAGAAAACATTGCTATGTAACTAGGGCTTTAGAGCTGGTTTTTAGACATTAGATCAAACTTCATCTTGAATGTCTCAGCAATCACATTTATTTTCAATTTTCGGCATCATGTTCTCAAGGATGTCTCCCTTCCTGCCCTTCTTCCAGGGGCTGTGATTCCTGGCCCCTGGGGGAACATGGTACACAGGTCTGAGCAAAGAAGACAGACTCTAATGTGACAGAATGGGTGTAGTAGGATGATGTCCCAACATTCCTCAGAGACTTGATTCAGCGGAGCTCATGTCCAGGATGGTTTGTATCTGACAAACCCATAGAGGATGTCAACTACAGAAAAATCAGCAGTGGGCCACAATGTAACAATCCCATTGAGGAGACTGAAGTGCTAATATGCCCATCTTTGGCTCATGGGACAGAAACCCAACCTCACCCCAGTTCATTTGGTGGGGGCCTGGCCATGTCCAGCATCCTGAGTGATGAGTTCAGCAAATCTTTCTCCACCTGTCTCATGCCTGTGTGGACACCCCATCCTGAAAGTCCCTTTCATGGGCTCTAGGGGATATCTCAATCCTTCTGCACACCCCACCTCTCTTGGGTTGGCAGAATGTTCTGTTCTAATCTCTACCTTGAAAGTATGCACATACTCTGGGAGCTGAAGGAAAGACACACACGTGCAGATACATGACATCAGAGGGCCACCAAACATGATGCCTACCTGAAGGCTCCAGGGGCCACACCAGGGCCGAGGAACAGGAAGTAGCACCAACTTGCCTTAGAAACTTCATCATTTGCCCACATCTCCCCATCTCCACAGTCCTGTCAATGATCCTCATTCGCACCATCCAGGGGCTTAGCTGTACTTACCTGAAGAAGTGCAAAAAGTGTGTGTCTTAGTCAGTGTTCTATTGCTGTGAAGAGACACCACGACATGGCAACTTTAATAAAGGAAAGCATTTAATTGGGGCTTGCTTACAACTTCAGAGGTTTAGTCCATTATCATCATGGCAGATAGCATGGCAGCACATAGGCCAACCGTGGTGCGATCCACAGGCAACAGGAAGAGAGAGATACGGGGGACTAGCTTTAGTATCTGAAACCCCAAACCCCCCCCCAGTAACACACTTCCTCTAACAAGACCACACCCACTCCAACAAGGCCACACCTCCTAATCTCTCTCAAGTAGTGCTACTCCCTAATGACCTAGCGTTCAAATATCTGAACCTATGGTGGTCGTTGCTATTCAAACCACCACTTTCCACTCCCTGGCCCCCAAAGGCTTGTAGCTACATTTTAATACAGAAAATGCACTCAGTCCCACTTCAAAAGTCCCCATAGTCTATCACAGTATCAACCCTATTTAAAAGTCCAAAGTTCAAAGTCTCTTCTGAGACCCACGGCATTCTCTTAAGTATACACCCCTGCAAAATAAAAATCAAGACACAAATCACACACTTCCAACATACAATGGCACAGGATACACATTACCATCTCAAAACACAGGGAAGGGAGCAGAGCGAGAAAATACTGGACCAAAGCAAGACCAAAAACCAGCTGGGCAAACTCCTAACTTGGCATCTCCATGTCTGATGTCAATGGGCTCTTCAGATCTCCAACTCCTGTCAGCTTTGTTAACTGAAACACATTTCTTTCTCCCAGGCTGGTTCCGCTTCCTTTTAGCACCTTTCCTTGGCAGGTATCCCACAGCTCTGGCATCTTCAAAATCTTGGGGCTTCCAAGGCAATCCAGGCTTCACCTTTACAACTTCAGGCAATGGCCTCTCTGGGCCTCCATGCAGGGACACTGCGGAGGCACACCTGACCTCAGCAGCCTTCCTTAGTCACAGAGAGAGATTCCACACCTCTTTCTTCTGTCCTTGACTCTAAACCACGTGGCTGAAGCTGCAACGTTCTGCTGTTTGCTGGGGCTGGACCGTGGCCCCCTGTTCAACTTCATCTCTTGTTGATCACTTCCTTTACTTAAGATTTCTTTAATTCCTTTCACAAGTTGGAAGTTTAACTGGGTGGAGTTTTGCCCTGAGGTCACCACTCCCTTTATTCCACTTAGCATCAGGCTTTTCTTAAATCTGTTTATTTCCTTGAGCACAAGACTTAGCTCCATTACACTTCCTGGTGCCAATTTTCTCCTCAAGTTGTACATTTTGTAGTTTTCCTTGCTCAGTGTGCTCTTTTTCATTATAGATCTGCATAAGCTTGGCCACTGATAACCCCACGTCATAGTCAATAATGGGCTGTTTAACATCTCCTCTGCCAATGCCATTAATCCAAAACTCTTATATTTAGCTTCAGGCAGTGTAGGGATAAGTCCCACCCCTTAGGGGGCGTGTTTGCCTCAGGCTAAAGTTTGCCTATAAATTTGGCGAGAGTGCTCCCAGCCCTCACTTCCTCTTCCTCCTGTTTACTCCTCCCACCTATGTTTTAACCTATCAGGGCAAGCAGTTTCTTTATTTAATTAACCAATGACCTTCCTCCATCAAGGCAGACTTTTCAGACAAGGACAAAAAGCAAGCCACACTATTCACCAAAATATCACAAGAACACTCTCTATGCCATTTACTAACATTCTTCTCCTCTGAACCCTCTTGAGTCAGTCCATCATAATCTACATTTTTCTCAGCACCACTGTCTTCCACACCCCTACCAGATGGCCCACTAAACCTCAAAAGCATTCAACTCAACTACTTTCCTAATCCAAAGTCCACATTCTACAAACAAGCAGTGTAGTCAGGTCTATCATTGCAATACCCAGCTCCCTGGTACCAACTTCTGTCTTAGTCAGTGTTCTATTGCTGTGAAGAGACACTAAGACCATAGCAACTCTTATAAAGCAAATAATTTAATTGGAACTTGCTTACAGTTTCAGAGGTTTAGGACATTATCTTCATGGCAACATGTCTGCAGACATGCTGCTGGAGAAATAGCTGAGACTTCTACATCTGGATCAACAGGCAGCAGGAAGAGAGAGATACTGATCCTGGCTTTAGCATTTGAAGCCTCAAAGCCCACCCTTAGTAACACACTTGCTCTAACAAGGCCACACCTACTTTAACAAGGCCACACCTCCTAATCCCTGTCAAGTAACTCCACTCCCTAATGAACAATATATGAATGGAGGCCATTCACATGTGGGGGCCAATTCAAACCTATTCAAACCACCACAGTGTGTGTGTGTGTGTGTGTGTGTGTGTGTGTGTGTGCCATCTTGTCTAGATCCAGAAGTCTACTTTGAATCGATGTAAAACTCTAAAGTTAACAGTTTATTCACTGTTAGCAAAATATCCACTATAGCAAAATACCACAGAGAGGATAATTTGTGAGGAGGTTTATTTAACCCAGTTTGGAAGCTGGAAAGCTAAGATGAGTGACCCCATTTGTTTGACCTCTGATGGCACAATGGAATCACTGAGAGCACACACAGCTGTGAAAGAAAATGTAGACAGACAGGAAGCCATGGGGCTCAGAGGTCAGACTCACATCTGCAGTGGAACCCACGTCTTACAGCCCAGACAGAAATCCACAGAATTAGCCAAGCCTTTCCAAAGCACTGATCCAAATACCAGCTCTTATGCTCCATCTCTAAAATGTCCCATACTACCTAGATTACCTCACAAGAGGTACAACTTCCAAAACACAGAGCTTTGGGCACACCCTAAACCTTCATCAAACCTTAGCCAGAGACTTGGGCACTGAGCTTCCCAGACCTCTTGTGATATGACTTTGGGTTTGGGAAGAGTTTCAGGGCCTGCTATAGAATGTCACGATCCTTGATAACTATTCCTGTAATTATCAATAATGTCCATAAAAAGGAATAAAATTCAAACCCAGTTTGAATACAACACTGTAAAATCTGACATGACCCTATTGCTCATAGTGGGATCCTGTCCTTCTCCAGATGACCTCCAACTCCCAGAGTCCTCTCTGTCTAGTCTCAGGTGCCTCTTCTACCTCTAACCTCCTGAGAGTGAAGAATTATTAGAGTTCATTGCAGAATGAATGTCACCACAGTGGTATATCTCCAAGTGGCCGAAAGTGAAACAGTTCTCAACATGTTGGTCACCTGAGTACAAGACAATCTATATCTCACAGGGCTTCCAGGTGGGCTTCCGGTCCTAGGGATGTCTCCTCATCTTGGGTAAGGAAAAGTCCTTTCCTTTCCACAGGCCTGCATATCAGCATCCAAGACATCCTACAACACATTATGATCTGCTGTCTTCTGGAAGGTTAGAGCCAAGGGGGCCTGGCAACTGTCAGAACCACAGTGGGTGACCTGTAGCTCCCTGGGATCGGTGTCCAGGCAAGACCTGAGCTCTAGGACCTAGGAGTTTATAAACTCTAGGGGTAAGGAGGGACCACGGCAATGGGGGAGCTCTCTAAGCTGAGAGAACACCTATGGTGGAGGTCCCTTAAACTGGTCAAAGAAATCTCTAGGAAGAGGAGTTGGCTAAAAATCTCTACCCAGAGAGCACAGAGCAAGGAGTTCATCTTTCTCCACTCAGCACCTCCCCCTGGTGAAGCTAGCAGTGCCCTGTGTGTACAGCCAAGAACATGGCTGCTGGGGGTCTGTGCTCTCTAACAGCCTTGGGATGTGTCTCTTTGAGTGACACTCAAGCTTATGTATGTGAGCAGGCCCGAGTGAGAAGAGCCCTCACCTGACCAAGAAGACACGGAAAAGCAAAGCAGCATTGCTCCCAATTTCATCCCTGCTTGATGGGTTTGCGATAGGCTAGGTAGATTTAGAGTTTTAAAAAAGACCTACAGAGCATCCAATTAAATGTGAATTCCAGACAAAATATGAAGTTTTAGTGGAAGTATGTCCCAAATACTGCTGGGACATACTTACCCTGGGAAAGTGTTCACTATTTGTCTGAAATTTAAACTGGACTGGATGTCTTGCTCTTCAATCTGTAGCCTAGGGTGAGGGAGGACCCAGGACGGAGCCTGTGAAGTCACACAGATTCTACCGTCAGATCCGTGAGCTCTGGGCAGGCCAAACAGGGATGATAGTGTACCAAGGACTAGGCCTCCCCAGAACCTGCTGTGGCTGCAGAAACCCACCCTTTTCCATGCCTCCACCCCAGTGAAGATGAGGATGAGACAGCCAAAGTGCCAGGGTCTTCAGCCAGAAGCTGTTAAATGAGCTCCCGAACATAATGAAATAAAATATGCACGCAGCCCTTGATACGTGTGAGATGCTCTACAGGACGGAGTGAGAGGGGATGGTGGAGGGTTTGCCTTTATCTACATCACTCAGCACTAATCAGCCACAGGAGGCTCCAGGCCATGGTCCAGAAGGTATGGGCACGGACAACCCAAGGCCCTTCCAGAGCACCCCACAATTCCAGTGTCAGATTCTCCAAGAAGAGTAGAATCCTGGCACAGACTTCTTCAGCATCCAGCATTAGTCCCCGGGATATCATGTGTGCAAGGCGCATCTATAGCAACATCTGGAATCCTGCACAGTGCAGCTGGCCTGGGGTTTATTGGTGAGATGCTCTCGACAGATGCTTGTACCCTCACACAACTTGGGAGATGCTGGTCCAGGGTTGCCATCCAGTGCTGGCTTCATCCAGCAATCTTCTAAAATGACCGGGTGCATGTAGGTCACCTTCCCTCATAAACAAGAAGGGGGTGGCAGAACAAAGATGGCACAGGAACACGACACCTACTACAGGTGTAATGACGGTGCGAAGACTCAGCCATACATCACACATGACATTAACATGTAAAGACTTGGGCTCCCTACCACGTGTGACATGACTATGGCGATTTGAGTATATATCATATGAGGTGTTGACTGAGAACAGAGACCGTAGCTGTCTGAGGTAGCTGTCTCTGTTCTTGAGAGAAAGAAATGACTCTCAGCTAAGACCAGGTCCTTTTAGCCTTTCTACTCCCTGAAGATTCACAAGCTCCAAACTGGGGTTCGTGGAGCAGGTGGTGATCCAGTAAAGGCAGCTGAGGAGGCAGGAAACAGGCAAGGAGAGGTTCAGGGTGGACCCCCAGAGTACAGGCCTGCCCTGAAATGTACTAGAACATCCATGCTGTACGTGGGGTTCTCAGCATCCACGCTCCTGGCCACACGTCCTACGCAGAGGTTCTTTGAGAAGTTGTACCTTGCTGTTCAATCTGTGGTGGCCTTTTTGTATCTTCTGGATGAAATAAGACAAAAGAGTTGGTCTGTCATGTCTGTAGGGTATAGACAGAAGGTCTCGTTTGCTCCACAAGGAGACACAGTTGCATGGTGTCACGGGTGGAGTGAGCACGGGCTGACACCAGGGTCGCATTTTTCCCATGAGCTCAGTACACTTTCCTCTCTGCACACAGGCAGCTCCGTGCTCTCCTCAGACACTTGGCTAACAGATGAGACACATTCCCGACTTGGCTGTAGGGGCTGCCTCCTCCACGTTGATCCCCTTCATGTCATCAGGCATTTGACCATCTGGGCGCCACACATTCAGGTCCCCAAAAATACCAGTCTCGATCATCTCCTCCTGCCAGGGAATGGAGCAGTTGCCAGAGGCAAACTCTTGGAAGAACTCTGTGTCGGTTTTATCAAAAACCACACCCTTGACTGTGGAAAAGGCACCCACGTCCTGTATGTTCTTGGCATAGACAGTCCTAGGGTCTGGGATGAACGGAGGGATCAGCATCCCTGTGAAGAAACATGAAACAAACCAGAGATACCCATGGTGAGGACACTGCTGGGCCAAAGGGTCCCCACAAACGCACATTTTTCTTCCTAAATGCTGGCAGAAACCAGCATCCCAAAGCAGCCCCATCCCTCATGCATAGGGCTCACAGAATGGATGATGGACAGAGTGGAATATGCCCAGATCTGGTTAGAAAGGTGTGTGTGTGTGTGTGTGTGTGTGTGTGTGTGTGTGTGTGCACGCGCACACGCACGTGGAGGCTGGCCTGAAGTCACAATCCTCCTGCCTCAGCCTCCCCAGTGCTGGAACTACTATGCCGGCTAGGAAGCCTTTCAACAGAAATCCCAGAACTTGCCTCCTATACCTACCCCAGACCCTCTCCCCAAAGTCCCCTTGCGAGCATCTTGAAAACAGCCTCAGTCCCTCACAGAGCAGCAGCACCCAGGCTTGGAGCTCTTGCCTGGCCCCAGGTAGGCATCACCATGATGTATGTTGAACTGAACTCTGCATCCTCCCTCCCCAGAAGCTACAGATGCAGAATGCTGTTGTTTTTACAGAGCCCAGGTGGCACTCACCTAGTCACCGGCTCTGGCTTCCTCTGAACATTTGAGCCTACCCTGTAACCCTGGCTGAACACAAGCCACTAACTCCAGCTTCCCAACAGGCCTCTGCTGGTCCAGGCAGTGTGTGGGCACCCAAGTGTAACCTCTTCGCCTGACTCAACCTTCATGGGCCCTGCCACTCCCTTGCACCTCAGAGACAGTCCTGGACCTCCTGATCCAGAACCCTTCCTTTCCTCAGGGCCTCATCATGAAGGCTCTGCCAAGAACAGAGCTCTTCCACCCAAAAGTCACGTCTCTCAGGAGAATCTTCTCCTCCTCTCTGTGGATCCTAGCTCATCCTGTAGTTGATCCTAATTATGTTGAAAATGCCACCTGGCTCTTCCCCTCCCCACAGATTCCTATAGGGTGACAGTATGCCTTTAGTCACCCTTGAAAATACAAACACACCTACACACACACACAGGGTACACACCCACACACACATACAAAACATACATACCACACCACACACACAGGGTACACACACACACATAACATACATACCACACCACACACACACAGGGTACACACACACACACACACACACACAAAACATACATACCACACCACACACACACACACACACACAGGAGTATACACACACAGAGGGGTATATACACCATACCACACACAGATATTAGATGTATATATAGACATGCACAGGCAAGTACCTGTTCACACAGGCACATGAGCATGTGCACACGTGTGGGCTCACACACAAGCAGCTATACACACATAAATACCCAGACACATGTACACACGGCACACACGGTATCTGTGGCTGCAATATCATGACAAACAATGTGGAGTAAATGAACTTCTCACAGGCAGACAAACTCTGCCACTCTTGAATCCTTGGATCTCTAGAATGCAGACTATGGAAGGGAAACACCATGAGACAGACCTACATCTTCAACACTGGCTTGCTACCCACTTTTCCCACCTGACTTCAACCCACGTGACCCCAGTGCCCATTCATGAGATACTAGAGATGAATGGAGGACCAGAAGAGCTGCCAGAGGCTACCTGGGGTCCCACAAGTCCACCACTCAGTCTGCGGCTGACCCCATGGCTAAGGTAGGCCATCAAGGGTCTACAGCATCACCCCCTAAGGTTCCCAGGCTTATGGTACCAACCCTACCGGCTTCAAGCTGCCTCCAGCTGATGTCTTTGAAGAGGATGTTTGCCCTCAGTGCATCACAGGTCCCATCCCGGAAGCCCAGGCGCTTCTCTGGGTCCTTCTCCAGCAGTGCCTCGCAGAAGTCTTTGCTGGCCTGGCTGAACTTGTCTGGGTACTTCACGGGCTCGGAGATGATGCGCTGCTTGAGTTCCTTGTTCTCCACCTACAGAGCAGGCAAACGGACCACTCCACTTGAGCCACGGCCAAGCTGCAAGCCTCACTGCGGTGGGCGTGGCTGATGGCGCTTTGGTGGGCCCCTCCCAGTGGTTTGGCATTAAAAGGCTCAAATCTCAGGACAAAGAGACCAAAGTCCCAAGGTGAAGCTCCCACCCACCTTATCTGCACGTGTACACAGCTAGTCCACTGCCACAGAAAAGGACCAGCGGTGAGAGCTTGGCCGGGACGGGGGTGAGGGGGTGGGTAAGATCTCACTCAGCCATCTGACAGAAACCTAAGGTGAGAGCTTGCCTTACTCTTCCTGTTTCACTCCTGGTCTCCCGCACAAAGCATCCCCCACACCAGTGTATGATAGGCACAGTGTGGCTTACTCCCCAGACAACCCTTGTGGCAAAGCCGATGCCCCCATCCTCTCTCCTACAGGTATGGACAGAGCAGCGTAGCCCATGAAACCTAAATGAGCAGGGCTGTTAGAGCGCACAGCTTGTCCCAACGCCTGCCACCACTCACCATGGAGGCCTAGGCGTCTGAGACCCTACTCCAGGTGGGGTCAGGATCACATGACAGCATAGAGCTGTAAGCTCAGGCAAGGACAAGACAGTGACAAGCAGGTGGACCCTGTCCCTGCTGAGACAAAGGAGATGGTCCCTGGCTTCTGGCCTCTGTGTAAACAAAAATGAGGAGCAGGGAGAGTGCCTGGGGTGCTGTTCGAAGTCCCAAGAGCAGTGGCCTAGTGGCCACAGTTAGCTAGGGACCCACCAGTGGCTTCCTTTGTGTAGTCTGCCCCAGAAGGGCCTAATGCCCGCTATCTTACCAGGGAGACCTGGCCAGTCTTAGCTAGTGCATGTTTGCTCTGCCACCTGCTGCCTCTGGTATGAAAGGACAGATTTATAATTCCTCAACAGCGCCACCTACAGGTCTCAGGAACAGGCAGGCCTTGGGACAGAACATCACCCAGGAAGCAGGACCCCAGAGCCTACACTGCTTATAAAGTCCTTGGCACAGCCCACCCATCCACATCTGCCCCAGAATGGACACTTTCAGGACTTCCTGCCAGGCAGCACCTACCTTCTCTCCTCGGGCTCGGAAGGGTCCTCTGGCTGCAATCATCTCGTACAATGTGACCCCCAGGGCAAAGTAGTCCACAGAGAAGTCATATTCTTCCCCTCGGAGGAGCTCGGGGGCCATGAAACCTGCCATCATGAAAACACGTAGATTTCAGACGCAGCTGTTTTCCCACAGCATGGTCCCTACCGAGCAATCACAGAACAACTGAAGCTTTCATGATTCACCCCCGCCACCCCCCACCGGGGGGTCTCACCACCAGTGATTTTTGAGAACAGAAACCTCTTTGTTGTCACTGAGGGACAACTGAACTTAACCCTGGCTGCTACCCATTGGATGCCCACAGTTGTAACAACCAAAAATGTTTTCCAACATAACCAAATCTTCCTAGGGGCAGCATTGCCACGGTCAGGAATCTCAGTCCTCGTGTGTAATATGAAGCCTCCTTTCCCCTCCACAGACTCAGGACAATGCAAACAGAACAGCATACAGCGTATAACTCGTGGGGTAGACAGATGCAGACAGACCGTCCTGTGGCTTTCTGACCCCTCTCCTCTTACAAGGACGTGGAAGTGAGAGCCGTGCCCCCATGATGCAAAGTGGGCCAGCGACAAAGCCCGAGGGATGCCCTGAGGTCACAGTCCTATGCCTTCCTCAGACACTATTGCTGGCAGCACAAACCTTCTTTTAGCACCTACAGGGAGGCCACAGCTGGGTAGTCTCGCAGCCCTTGTGGAAAGCAGGGCACACACCTATCCACTTATCAGCCTTCAGCAAGGTGTGGAGCAGCCTGATAGAGGAGGGAACTTGCTGAGGATGGCGCAGACCAGAGGAAACAGAGCCACAGAACAGCGCCTGAACACACAGCTGCTGTGTGGCCTTCTAGACAGACATGCCCTCCCTAGTCCTCCTAGCTGTCTGGTCACAACTAGGACATTTGCCTAAAAGTCTCAACCCCCTGCCACACAGCACACATGCTAACGCCCAGGGTCTACAACACAGTGTCTAAACCGTCTCCTACCGCCCATCTTTGGAATTGTTCCTGGGCCCCTGGAGGATTAGCCCTTCCGGAAGGTGTACTGTTGACAGTTCCTCCCGCAGCCATGCACGCCATTTCTCCACTCCAAGACATCACCAGTGTTCACTCAGCGCCACTCCCAGCGGTGCCAAGCGAAACCCTGATCATGTCACCCTTTGTCTTCAGAGTCTGGGATTTTGCAAACAGCATTGCTACAGCAGAGCTTGAACCCATGAGTTACTGGAAGGGGGAGCAAGAGGATTTCTGCTGCCCCTGTAACAAACTAGCCCCCTTGTGGCAGGAAGCGGAAGACAGAGGCGCACTTTTCTTGTGCTCAGAGGAAGACCCTCTCCCATGCACAACCTACAGCCTTGACCTGAGCTCAGAGCACGGAGAACTGTCTAGAACGGTGCTCATTGGTTAGCACTTTTGGAACAGCAGCTTCTAGTTTGCCTCCTTGGCAAATGCTTGAACTTGGCATTTCAAGCCTATACTGGAGTCCCAGCCAAAGGTCCCCATGAGTGTAGAGATGCCACTGGATCCACCTGAAGAATCAGTGCCAGCTCAGTGAGGTGGTGATTAGGCAGGCAATGGTGCCCTCTCGTGGCCAGTCGGGCCTCATACTCAGTCCTGAGCAGGACCAGTTTCTGGTCTCAGGTCTTGCGTCAGTGGATCTGGTACTTGCAGTGGACTTGCAGTGGACTAAAAGAGATCCAAGTGGAGTTTGAACTAATCCTTGAAAGCAGGTGCTGTGCCATGGCTCCAAGACACGCTGCTTCCAGAATCCTCTTCTCAGATCTCTGTCACCCTGTGCCTTTCATGGGGCCCTCAGCACCCATCAGCGACCGAGACCCAGGCTAGACCGCCACCATGCCTCCTGGGGACCAGTATGGATTTGTCGTACCCCAGAATGTAGGGGGAAGCTCTTGTCCCTCTGCCCACCATGGCGTCAGAGACAGTCTCAGATGGTACCTGAGGCACGGGGTCCTGGTGACAGAGGGACCTTTCTGTAACCCAAAGCTCTCTATATACCACCATTCTCTATACATCCCAATATAGGTACTGTCTGAAGCCAGAGAGCCCAGGGAAGAAGGAAAATATCTAAGAAATTCTGTCAGACATCAACCTGAATATGACCATCTAGAATGTGGAGACAGGAAGGACTTAACTGCAGGTGTGTCTACTTCATGCAAGTGCCAGTGTATAGTCACTTAACAGACTCATGAGCCCATGTGTTGTGTTAGAACCAGGGCTAACACAGATTAAGCACACCGTCTGAGGTCATCTAGCCACGAAGCATGGTCCTGGATCATGCATCCTCTCCACCTGACTCATGTCTCTTCTCTCCTCTACACAGGCTGCGTCTCTCCTTTCCTCTGAAGAAAATGATGAAGGAAGCAAACCACAAACGGCCACAAGTGTGCACGCACTTAAACACAGATACGTCCACAATCATACATATATGCGCAAGTGTACATGTACACAAAGCATATATACATCCAGGGAAGCACACCCATATATGCACAGATACAGGTACTGAACATCCACACAGAGATGCCTGTACACATTCACACATGAATGCACTCATATGTTCACAGGTTCATACATGAAATATGTACATATACAGAGGTGCACATAGACATGTATATGCACAAAGACACATTTGTAAAGCTGCGCACACATACATATTTGCATATATGTACACAGAGACAAAGGGAGTTGTGTGCCTACATACATGTACAAACAGATATGCACAGGTGTTCACAGATGCACAAGCATGTGCAGGTTTGTGTTCATCCATACATGTACTTCGACATAAAGGCATCCATGTTCACACTCAGTCACACCTACAAGACATACAACTGTATACACCACATGGGAGCAAGCATACATGTGGGAATGTGTGTACACACAGGTATGCATATGCGCACACAGAGACACACATGTGCATACCCTGCACATTGGTGGATATCTACCAGGGTTTTACTGACGCCTAGCAAGTGCTACCTGAGGAAAGTTCCTGTCCCCAGTGCTCTGTGACATGACCCACATGGTGACCCCATGACTCCCACTCTTCCATGAGACACCCTGGACAAACTCATTCTGTCAATGCTCAAGAAGCCACTTAGAGTGCAAGTCTTGCATTCTCTCTGCCCATCAAGGTGCCAAAGGGGCAGCTTTGCCCAGAGGGTGAGGCAGTAAGCCAGCAAGACTGCTAAGGCAGGGTAGGGGTTATCATGACAGGGAACAAACAGTTCTTGAGCTGCTGGGCGAAACCTGATTGCCACTGTTTACTCTAGGGGATAAAGGAGCCACGCTCCACAACCCCCACTCTCTGTATTACCACCTTAGATCTTGGGGACCCTACTGCCGCTGGCTCTGGAAGAGAGGATGACCCAGGATGCAAAGCCTCTCCAGGCCCCTCCCCCAATCTCAGGTCTTACCTGGGGTCCCTGCATAGCCCTTGGTCTTATCCTGCCCTTCCATCAGCTCCACGGCCAACCCAAGGTCAGAAATTCGGATATTGCCTGAAAGTAAATACAAGCTGAGGTTATACTCACTTCACAGAAGAGAGGTGCCAGGTGAGTCCAGGGCTTGGCAATGCTCCCCTGCACAGTAGAAAAACACACTCCACATGTTCTATGTACACAAATACCACACTCAAGACACATATCCACTCTCCACAAAGACATATCATACACATAGTAGGCATTCTACACATACCTTACACACAAACGTGTAACCCCTGCCACACACATATATTCAGAAAGCAGACACACACACACACTGCACAGCTTACACCACGGTCCTTTATACCCTAACACCCACTTGGCCCCTCTATAGTGACTTTTGAAGGTGCTGATGACACCATGCTGTGGGCCGCTAGCACTGCTGTGGCCTCTGTCCCTCCAGGGCTTACCGTCATTGTCCAGCAGCACGTTCTCCGGCTTGAGGTCGCGGTAGACGATGCGTCTCTGATGCAGGTGCTCCAGGCCACTGATGATCTGTGCTGTGTAGTAGATGGCCCGTGGCTCTGGGAAGCCTGGGTTCTCCTCATCCACATTGTAGATGTGGTACCTGGGGGCCAAACACCACGGGAGGTACACACACCCCAGGACTTAAGGGCAGTAAACACACACATGCGTGTCAACACAGGACGTAAGGGCAGTAAACACACACATGCGTGTCAACACAGCACGGTCACCTTGGGACCAAGCATCAGTGTTCTGCAGAAACCCAGGACTAGAGGCCTCAGAGAGCTCACACCTTTCCCATGACTGTTAGAGGACATACAAGCTTGTTACTTAACAAAAGCCTCCTTCCTTCGGACCCCAGAGCAATGCCAGGACAGGGCCAGGGGAGGGGAGTCAGCCTAGCTTTCTTAAACACAAGCGGCTCCCAGCTCCCTAAGTACACCTGTGGTCTGCTCCAGCAGACCTCGAACCCTTGGGTGGATTTGACGATGGCCCCTCCTTCACTGCGGACCCCTGAGGTCTGTCCCTTTTTGCACTCTTTCTTGCATGTCCCACCTCAACACCTCACAGGGAAATGAAGCTCACAGCTAGAATGACCTAAGATGCAGGGAGGGTGGGGGCAGACCAGAGGCCTGGAAGATAAGCAGAGGTCCCTGGGGTGGGGGATAGAACAGCCTGCCATGCTAGAATACCCAGCATTCCTTGCAGCCCTCTTCCCCTTCTACAGGATTCTCACAGACTGGCTGTCTAACCCCCGTATTACTCATCTGAAGAAAAGGCAGGCGGCTCTGTCAAAGATGATGTCAATAAAGCAGAAGAGAGGAAGGGAAGGGCACAGGTATTTGGAAGTCATAGCTCCTGTTAGTGACACACCGCGTTCCCAAGGTGCCCCAGGGTCTCACCGTGTTAGCCTCCTGCACCAGGTACCCAAGAATCTCGTCATTTTAACTTTGTGTGCCAGTTACCCTAAGGTCCCACTGCTCCGTCCTCCTGACACTGACTTGTCATTATTATTCATTTCTTCTTTACAGAACAGGAAACTGAGGGAAAGAGTGGTGAAGTCACCAAGCCAGTGAAAGTCGTGACCTGGCCTCCCCAAGGATGAGGAACAGCCTCAGAGCACCGTCCATCAGGGGTGGTAGGCGAGTTGGCTCTAGCTGGTCATCCAGCTCTCTGTCCCTACTGATGGAGCTGTTTCTTTTACTCTCTTAGCCCTCCCAACCTTCCGTACCATTCACAGCACCACGTGCCCTCTGTCACCTGTCCCCAACAACTGCGGGCAATGACAGATACAGCCTAAGTCCTGGGCCCAACTGGACATGAACCGGGTGCCCTAGTTGAAGCAAACCCCAGTTTTGGACACCATTACCTTATGTCACCTCCATTCATGATAGTCATCACCAGACAGAGGTCAGTCTTGGTCTCGAACGCGTAGGCCAGAGACACAATGAACCTACTGTGCACCTTGGTCAGGATCCTCTTCTCAACTATGGCACCCTAGAAGCAGAGTTGTGGTCCTTAGTCCTCAGGAAGGCACTGTGGAAAGCAGCCTGCATGCTGGGCACAGCACGGGGCAGGCTTGTGATGGGTGGAGTCTAGCATACATTCAATCAATCAGGGGTATAGCCATGGTGTCCACCAGGACATCCCCATCACTGCCCCACCCACCCTCTCTCTGCGCCTTGCTCACTCCACCGCCATCCGGTCCTCGCTTGTATCCTTGCTAACTCCCAGTGCAGCCCAAGTTTCAGGCAGGCCATGCTTTATTGTTCATCTAAACATGGCAAGTGTGGAAGGGATGAGGACGCTGGGTGGAGCCAGTTCATTCTGCGTATGTCTCATCGAGACACTGAAGTCCCAAACGTTTCAATGTTGTACTGGGTTGCATGGAGATGTGGGTGACCCAGAACTCAGACAGACATGGTCTCACTGTGTAGTCCTGGCTCTCCTGGAACTCTCCATGGAGACCACTGGACTCACAGAGCTCCGCCTGCCTCTGCCTCCTGAGTGCTGGGATTAAAGGCGTGGGCCACCACGCCTGAGCTTAAAGCTCTTCTTTGAGATTAACATTAGACCACAGTGTGGTGCGGTCCCACTGCCCCTGGTAAAGGTGCCTGGATTTGTCTGGAACTCCCACTTGCTGTTTGTACCTAATGTTTGACCTCTCACTGACGTCTCAGGGCCCTGCTGGGGGCTGGTGTCTGCCCCTCAGAATTTCACAGCATTACCTATTCTGTATGGTGGGGCTGTGTTCCTCGGACAATAAGCCGCTTTCACTGATCCTGCCTTAACCGGACACCGCCGCCACCAAAGAAGGAACTAAAATACCAGCAGCCTGCCTAAGTCCTCCAGCCATTCTTGTCCCCTGGAAACCTGTGTTCAGGAAAAAGTAGTCCTACAACCCAGCATCACAGATAGTTTCTGCCTCATGTCAACAGTGCCTGCCAAAGTGATGTTCCCCCAGCAGAGTCCTGCCTCACTTTCTCCTGCATGCAATCGCAACAGGAGCCTCACTTTGAAGAAAATTCAAAATAGTCAGATACACACTCCAGACAGCAAGTGGCTCTCCCTGGAACTGCTCCTCAATGTGGGACAGATGAACTACTGCCTGGCTAGTGGCTGCCTGAGCTGGGGGTTGGGGGAGGAGTGTCCAAATGGCAGGATACATGCACAGTAGCTAAGGCCCATGTAGACCTCCACAGATGGGTGGCCGACATCCTCCCATCCCTCCAGCCCGAGAGCATCTTCTGCATGCCGGGCTCCCTACCTGGTAGCCCTTCCTTTTCTTCAGCCGCTTCTTGTTGAGCTTCTTGCAGGCGTACATCTTGCCGGTCGCCTTCATTTGGCAGGCAGACACCTCCCCAAAGCCCCCTTTCCCCAGAACCCTGAAGTCCAAGAACCAGTCTTCACCTATGGGCTGAGCTTCCAGCCATTTCCACTGGAGGAACCGCAGGAAGTACAGGCTTTCGAGGTACTCCTGAAAGGGGACCTGGCTCAGGTGATCCAGGGTGGCCTGCAGCAGAGGCTGGAAGAGGCCATCCTGGCTCCTGGCGGGCCCTTCCCTCACCTTTGCCACCATGCCCTGGTCCAGAAAACTGCAGAAGTGTGTGGCCTGTGGGTCCAAGTACTCAGCCAGGATGGCCTGTGCCTTCTGAGGCCGCAGGTCATCATCGGCTGTGTCGTAGTCCTCAATGTCCTTCCAGAGCTCCAGAGCTGGCACGTGTCTCTCGTCTGTCTTCAGGAACTGTTGGAACAGTCTCTTGCCGATGGGTTGCTCTGAGCACAGGCTGTCGAACTCCAGGCTGAGGCTGTCACGGAGACTCTCACACTTGGACAGTGGGGGCAACCGGAGCTTGGCTAGATACTTCTTGTCCCGGGAAGAGGGGGTGCTGCTTCCGTCAAAGCTGCCACGGGCAGCGATGAAGGCAGAGTTGGCCACAACAGTCTCCAAGGACCCGAAATCCATCCTGATGATGTCTTGTGTCCCCTTCAAGTGTTAGGACCCATAAGCTGAGGTGAACCTCAAGGAACCTGCATCTAAAGCAGGGCCCGACCCTATGCCCTTGGCCTGTGGCCTGTTCCTGCCCTTGTGGGGCAAGGGAGGCATGTAGCTATGGCCAGGATGCTTGGGCAGCCTCTAAGAAGCCCAGGGAGACCAGGGCTAACAAGCATCTAGCTAAATCCCAGTCCTGGGGTCACCAAGGACACCTTAGGGGTGACAAAACAGGTGCCAGAAAAAGACAATCCCCTAAGCTGCTCCTAAGCGGATTAGAGTTCAGCTGGGCTCCCTACCCCTGAGTGCTGCCTTCGTGTTCCCAAGGGAAGGGCACACCACAGGCTCCTGGAAGCCCCTGGGGAGCGGTTCTGTCTTTCCCAGGCCTTGGCAGGTGCACAGGACCTGTCTGTGTCCTGCTGGGATGTGGGTCTGCAGTAGAGGGTAGACAGTCCCAGCAGCCGCCTCCATTTGTAAAGATGGCTGTCTCCCACTGTGTTTCCTCTTTATCTTCAAGAGAGTAGCAGGCCAGAAGCGTCCTGGTAACGGGAATGGGGGGGGGGGGCACAGTGAGCAGTTTCCCCATCTGTGAATGAGATCACGGACACTTGATGGTGTGATCAATCAGTCTTCTTGAAGAAGTGCCACAAGATGGTTAGAGGACAAAGACAGGGCACAGAAGACTCATGGGACATGAGCCGGGGATGCACCTAGGACACAGCTGGTTCAGGTGGGCATACCTGAGACAGACTTGGAACATCAGGGACACATCTGGAGCACACTCAGGACGCAGCTTAGACAGTAATCATACCCAGGACACACCCAGGAATGGTAGAAGGTATGGGCATGTCACCATCTCATGGGGACCACAACTGTCATGTCTGTAGTGGTGCTCCTGACAGTCTGAGGAGGAGCCACAGGGAAGGAGGGAGCACTCACAGGGGGGAGAAAGGGAAGTCGTGCAGAATGAATGAAAGCCCAAGTCAGAAGGCTAAAGGAGCGTTCAGCCCACCCACCTCCTCTGAGGGGCAGCAGGGGGCATCAGGTGAGGACGGGGTCTCCTGTCGCGACTGCGGAAGAGAAAAGAGAACCTCCTGGTGAATGCCAACCCCCTCTCTCACCTCCCACCTCTTAGCAAGGGCTTGTGACAGGAAGATTGGCAAGTAAATATTTGAGGTAAACAATATCTCGTCCCCAAGTGACCTCTACTAGTCCCAGCCCTGCCCTGCCACTTAGCAGCTGGTGACCTTGGACAGACCATATCTGATTCTTGTACCAATCAGGACTGAAGGGGACATGGTTCTCAACCACTGGGTACCTTGTCAGCAGAGCCACCCAGAGCACTGAAATCCACATTCCACCTGGCTCAGAGGGCTGGCGGAACTCAGGACTCCATTTCTGACAGGCGCCTGAGTGGTTTACATGGAAGCCGTGGAACAGGACCAGGAGAGGTTTAGGGCTGAAGAATTCCAGACTGCCTTCACACCAGGAAGGTCCCTTGTGGAGGGGGCTGAGGAGAATTTGGCGACCAAAGTAGGACAAGTTCGGTTCCTGGCCCAGAATATTTAGACAAAGCCTATAGTGTCTCCCAAACTCATCTCTGCGTATCCTTGTTATCTAAACCTTTGAGTAATGACAGAGTACACACAGCTGAGGGGTCATGAGAAAAGGAGGGGAAATAAGGAGAGGGTCCCTCAACAGTAATAATGGATACCTGACACAGGAGCGTTAGATTCAGGGTACCCATGGCACCAGGACCCCTGAGCTGTCCTTTGTAGACAAGGCCTTTCCCACACCCTCAGCCCTCCAGGAACCCACAGGTCCACTCTCTGTACTACTGCAAGGGTGCTGTCTGAGCACGGGCCCTTTGGGGGGACTAGCTTCTCCCTCTCAGGAAATTCTCTAGAAGTGGAGGCAGGTGCCCACAGCAAGCGCCTTCCCTCCTGTGGCTGACTATTGGTCCATGATCCATGCAGATGCTCCCTGATCTAACCAGGCTTCCAGAGAAGGACATTTGGTATCCTCTCCAGGTTTGGGCTATTACACACGTGTATTTGTCTGTGGATTTCTACTTCTCTGAGATAAATGTCCAAGAGTGTAGTTCTGGGCAGATGTGTTTGCTCTAAAAACATCTGACAAACTGACTCCCAGGGATGTGCCTATCTCTCATTCCCACCAGCAGCCATTGAAGCCGGACACCCACGTCCTTGACAGGGCTGGAAGCTTCCTTGTTGGCCATTCATTCTGCCCTGGTAATGTTCTCCATTAGCATATATTAATTGTACAAAACAATGAGTCTCTCTGTGACATTTTCATACATGCATAATATACTCTGAACATATTCCCTCCCCCATTACTCTCTGGTTTCCCCTCCTCTTCCCACTGATTTCCTTCCTCTCCCTCCCCTCTATTTTCACGTTTCTGGTAACAGCTTTGTTTCTATTTTGTATATGTTGGACAGAAGTGGTTCTGTCCAATTTACAGGTTTCTTCTTATGGATTCCTTTCGTGGTGTTGAGTCTAAGGCCTCTTTGGCTAACCCTAGGTTCACAGATTCCGTCCTTGTCTTCTCCTGAGGGTTAGAGTTTCACTTTTACATTCAAGATCATGATCCACCTTGAGTTCATTTTTGGAAAAGGTAGGAGATATAGTTGAAGCTTTTTTTCCAATGAAGGTCCAACTACTTCAGCACCATTTGTTGAAATGTAAGGGGGAAAGAAAAGAACCAGCTCCACAAAGTTGCACATGTTCACGTGCACACACACATACACGCGCACACACACATACACACACACGTGCACACACATGCACGCACACACACAATACACATACACACAGTAAATACACATACACTCACATGGACATTATAAACACACACACAGTTCCTCACACACACCATAAACCTTGTGAACAAATAATCTGCAATTTTACTTTATTAACGGGAAACATCATCAAAATAGTATGATGAAAGCCTAATGTTCCCATGTTGTGTTTTGCAGAGGATCTCAAGGTAAAAAGGCTTTTAGCATACTTTGCTCCAAATCCCACCATGGTCAGACCCAGGGCCACACCACAGCACACACTCTTTTTTTGGAAGAAATTTGTGTTGTGCTGTCAGGGACTTGTGTGCGTGTGTGTGCATGAGTATGTATATGTGTGTGTGTGAAAAAAAAATCTCATATATTCTTTAACTATTCCTCCGCTGTTGAGCCCTTAGGCTGCTCCTGTAGCTCAGCTGTTGGGAATACAGCTGCGTGCGGTATACATGGATATACGAGCATCTCTGGGGTGTGCTAACCTAGAGTCCTGTGGATGAATATAACCAGGAGTGGTACAGCTGGGTCATAAGGAAGGAAGACCAGCTCTAAGATACCCTTTTAATGTCCTGTGTTCTCTCTGTGCTGCCTGCTCCTGTTTAGTGGAAGGAGTTGGTGGAGGCAGGTGCTTTTTTGGGTCTTTTCCCTTCTTGTCAAAGTCCAGTGGAAATTGACTTTCTGATCAATTTCCTCATCGTCACTGAGCCTCCCTTCCCAGAAGCCTGCATCGCTGACTGCCCTGCTGAGTCAGTGGATTTCTCGGGTCATCTATTGGCATGTTTTGCCTCGATTCGACTCTGGCTTTACAGTCATCCATGGTCTTTGTCCACTGTCCATTTCTGTTCCCAATGGGTCTGAAGCTCACACAGCTTCAAGGGAGTTCTGTCTTCAGCTTGAAAAGGTCTCAGAACTGCCCTAAAATCTTCCTACTTCTCTCCAACAGCCAAAGGCACGGAACCCAGAAGGTTACCCTAACACAAACCATAGCTGAAGCTAAATGATGGGGCAGGAGAACAAAGATTCCATTTGCTTATGGCTCAGGACAAAGCACAGCGTGGGTGGCTTCCCGTGAAGTCTTTCTCCCTTGGTGATGTCACTAGAGCCTCTAGACAGCAGCATGACCACTGGGCCCTCTAGCCACCCTCTCGGGCAGGTTTGCTGGCAGCACATTCTCTAATTTTCCCCCATTTGACAATGTCTAGAATTTCCCCTTACCTCTGAAGATTTTTTTTCTACACGTGGGACTCTGGCTTGATCATTCTTTTCTTCAGGCACTTTTTAAAAAAGATTTATTTTTCTTTCATGTGTTTGGGTATTTTGCCAACATGTATGTAAGTGCCCTACATGTGCCCATGGGGATCTGAAGAGGGAATCAAATGCCCTAGAACTGGAGTAATGGATGGCTGTGAGCCGCCATGTGGATGCTGAGAACTGAGCCCAGGTCCTTTGTAAGCGCAGTCCATGCTCTCAACCACGGCGTGTGTCTTCAATCCCCTTTCAACACTGCAAAATCGTCGTGAAATTTATGCTGGCCACTAACACCATGCGTGGAGGAGAGGGGGGTTTCACAACTGCCAGGTGGGGTAGAAGTCTGGGGCTCCTTTTCCTGGAACTGTTTGGTGGGGCACCCAGTTCTGCCTTCCCGGAGTGCACTATGGGAAAACTACCGTCTACGAAGATCTCGGTCCCTGCTCCCACAGGCACATGGTTGGGTCACTCTGACGGTCTGTGTGTGGTCCAGAAACTCGGAGGTGGGAAGATGGAGCTCAGTGAGGTTCAGAAATGGCTCACGTTTTGTTCACATGTAGAACATTTCCATGCCCACTAACAGATGATGGTTAGGTGCCCAGGTGTGTTCAGGGCCCTCTTGGCCAATCTGCAGGCTTGGGTCTACACATGCCAGCTCCAGCCCCACAGGTATCTTCAGGTGCCCACACATCTGGCTCCAGACCTACAGGCAATTTCCAGACCCTGCACATCTGGATCCAGGTCCATGGGGACACCTTTAAGCCCATGTAAGATGGGCCCCAGGTTGACAGGCACCGTCATGTACCGACACATAGGCCCTAGACCCACAGGTTGTGAGCAGCAAGATCTCAGCCACTGCTGTTCACTTGCCTTTGTAATCCTAACATCACGAGAGGGTCTGTGCCAAAGATAGTGCACAGGGCTGCTTCTCTGAGAAGCAGGCTACAAGGATGTAAATCCTTTTAAATTTCAGCATCGTCTGTTTGCAGGCAACTAAATCATATTGGGACGGGGGGTGCAAAATGAAAGCCAACGGCTTTTCAGGGTTGCTCTTCTTCCCAAGAATACAGTTTGGTTACGCAGTCACTAGGAGGGAAAGCCTGCGTAGATGTAACAATAATGAGTTCCCAGTGGTGACTGCCCACAAGGGCCAGGGCTTGTCTTAGCTACACTTGAAAAAGAATAGAGCATGTCCCCCTTCCTTGGCCCACCCTCCCCTTTCAGGAGTAGAAACCTGGCCATGGGATGCTGCTTTCAACCTGAGTTGATTGCACATTCAGAGCATTTGGTTCTCTTCCCATCTGGCGCACAGGACAATGGCAGAGGGACACCTACCCAGTGCCGGGTGGGGACAGCCAGCCAGCATTTGTAGCCCTCATGTGTTGTCTACGGACACTCTTGAGTGGAACTTTGCAGACATCCAACTGTCAGCAGCCTACCCACCCACAGAGGCTCCACCCAGCAGCTCCAACATCAGAACCTCATCGGCAAGAAGTTGGACAGAAGACACAAAGCCGGGGAGCGCCCCCAGATCCCAGGAGTGGGATTCTCCCTGCAGACACACAAGGAATCTTAACGGTGCTCTGGCCCTACTTCCAGCAAAGGGCAGGAGAGCATTATCCTCATGGCAGAGACTGGAAGACAGGCGCCCTCCCTGACAGTGCCTCCACCTTTGCCCAATGCTGCCCTTCACCATGTTTACCCAGTTCTCTCTGACATTCCTGTTGACTCTGCCCCAACCACCATCTCGAGAAAGACAGGCCTGTGGGACCACTCCAGGAAGTTGTGGGCACACTTCAGGCAATTTCTCTACCACCCTGATGAGGAGGGGAGTCTTAAAGAAGCAGTTCAAGGTCCAAGAGACCTGAGTGGCAGGATGGCAGATCTCAGGCCTGCGACATTTGACCTGGGACGTGCCAGTTTGTGTTTTCCCTCCTGAAGGAGAGCTGAGGCTGTTCTAAGCAGAAACACTTCCCTTCAACCTAATCAGGGGAGGTTAAGTTGTCAGCCAAGGGCATCCCAAGGACCAGCTGACTTCTGGGACAGTAGAGGGCAGATAGCCGGCAAGCCCCAAGCCTCCCTTGTGTTTGTAGAGTTGATAATGGGGAACTGATATCTGGCTCCAATGCCTTTGGCCTCAGGCAGGGGAGACTATAAGCCTCAGAGGACACTCCCTGGGTCCAGTCCAGGCCAGCAGGAGAGGACATGGCAGCCCTACAGGAGAAGAAGTCATGCAGCCAGCGCATGGCCGAATTCCGGCACTACTGTTGGAACTCGGACACTGGGCAGATGCTGGGTCGCACCCCAGCACGGTGGGGTAGGTGTGGGCCATGTGAAGGGGGGCATGGGATGAGGCAGAGAGCTAGCAGCCAGCAGGACCCAGGCGCTGCTGGGATACCTGGGAATGCACTACAGGCCATGCCTCACCTCTGCAGGAAGCCGGGGTCCCCAGATGGCCCTGAGGCTCAGATTCCAGAACACCTGCAAAACAGGTCCAAGACTGGCCCCAACTTTTCATCCATGATTTTGAAGCATCATTTTAAAACTCTTTCTGAAACTAATATTTTTTTAAGTTACAGCAAGTTATGGTCGTTTCTTGTCAGATAACTGGGGAGGCAGGGGTTTACTTCAGTGGATTTGTTCTATTGTGAGAGTCGCCATGACTGTAACACGCTGGGCATATCTGGAGACCTCTCTGACCTCCAGGCTGCATCTGAAGGGGCCCCGTGCTGCTGTTATTCTCAAGTGTGGACAAGGTGGGCTAGAGAGATATGTCCACTGAGTCCCGTTTTTATGGCTGCCCTGTGGCGATCTGGGGGACCCTTCCTACTGAGGCCACCCTAAGAAAAGAGAGGTCCTCATAGATTGGAAGGCTGTGCACCTGTTCAGGACATCCCCTCATGGAGTATTCTTCCACAAGCAGGAAGTATTCCTGAGACCCCAAAAAGTGGCAGCCCTTGGGTTCTCCAGGACATGGGAGTTACAGACAGAGATTGAGTGTAAGTGGGTGGGTGCAGTGAGGATATTGCAAGACCACATCACTGGGGAATACAGGATGTGTGCCACCTTACTCCTTAGACGGCAGCCTCAGGCACAATTCCTTTGGGGTCCCCCAGCAGCCACATGGGGATCCGTCCAAGATCCTTCAGGTCTGTGCACAAATTAAAGGCTACTGTGGTTGCCCTTTTACCCCCCATCTCAGGGGCCTTGAGAACCGAGATGAGAGTAGACTCACAGAGGGTGGTACCTAACGACTCAACTCCGCAACAATTCGGCTAGTCTCAGCCCAGCTTGAACATGCTACCACATAAGAAGCATACACTGTTCATGTAGAAGGAGAACACATCCTCCTCAAGACCCTGAGACCCCCCAATGGCGGCTGCATTGAAAATGCAATCAGTTTCAGAGCAGGGAGGAAACAGGAAGATACCATATACCAGTGGGAGACACAGAAGCAGAGCTGCTACCAGGGCCATCCCAGGAAGTGGGTCACCTGAAGAAGGGACAGCAGATGGGGCTCTGGGGTACATGCTGGGATTGTCAACTATCCTCTCAGGAGGTTCTCCTAGCTGCCAAGTCTCCTGCAAGCCTTCTTGATGACTGTAATGCCACTCGGAACTTTCTGGAATGGTTTCTCAGCCTGACCCGAGGACCTGGCCTCAGTGTCTGGTGGCTGAAGAGAGAAAAAGCCAAGTGAAATGACAGAAACAAAGGAACGGGACAAGTTACTCTTTTAGGGGAAGCAGCACACGAGGTACTTAGAGGAAATGGGGGCTGGAGCCCACAGGCTGAGAACAGCTGACGTCTCAGTGACTTGGGGCATACTGTGTCCCCGGGGCACACTCTGTGTGTGTCATGGAACTCCTACCACCAGTAGCTCTCATGTGAGATTCCATGGCATTGCCCCCTTGGAGAACCAAGTCTGACGGTAGCAAGGTTGGCATCCTTCATCTGCACCTGGGAGATGCTGAGCCCTGGCTCACACCCATGAGCTGAATAGTCAGAAGAGGGTTTGAGAGACAGGATGGACAAGCAGCAAATGAAGCCAAGATTCTATCTGTGGCAGCTCAGGCCCCAGGAGGGTAGAGTCAGACAGAAGCCACATCAGGTAGGAGCCTGTAGTGGCCCTGTCAGTCCTGCAATGGAAAATCTCCCTCTCTTGGCCCTTCCCAAACATGATTGGGCATACACCCCTTAGTGGGTATACAGCCCTGACAATCCCCTGACAATCACCCCTTAGTGTGTGTAGAGCCCTAACAATCCTCTGACAATCAGTGACAGTCATTAGCCACTACCACAGCCAAACCCAATTAGAGGACAAGGTCTTCGTAGAACTACAGTTCTGAGACAGGCCACTGCTGTGTTGGCTATCCAGGGACGCCTTGTCAAGCCATAGCTGGCCTCCAGCCTGTGACCTCCCAACCATCTCTGTCCCCACTGACTTGGTCTTGCCTTCAGTGACTTTTTGGGTCACTGAAGACTTACAGGGAGAAAGTCACACCCACATTGTGCATTTGGAAGGAGCATCCCATGTTCTTAGAGACCTTCCCAGGAAGACCACAGTCACGGACAGCACAGAGACCCTTTTCTGGCACTATGTTTCTTGGCAGTGGCTCCCATGACTAGAAATCATTCAAAAACACAGCTGTGAGGACTTCCCAGTAGCCCAAGTCCAAAGCCATGCCCCAGAGAGCTGTGGTCCCTAGGATCTGGCTCGAAAGGAACATCATCAAAGGGGTCTTCAGGAGTCCATGAATCCCGGCTCACACCCAGGTCAGAACATCTCCTTCCACTGTTGCTTGAGCAGCAGGGCTGGAAACCACAGGAGTTGGGCCTGCCCAGCATGTCCCCTAACCTTCTTCTCTGCAGGACACAGGGCAAGTACCTGGCAGGTCCTCAGAGCACAGTCCAGGTATGCTCAGCCATGCCCCTTCCCAGGCAACCATGCACTGGGGGTCACTTTGCCCAACAGCTGCCTTTCCCTGGGAAGCAACTCCAGGGTACAGAACAGGCTCTGGAACCCTGCCACGGTAGCTGTAGTTACAGTGATCAGTGCACCAAGCACACATAGTTGGCACTAAGATGGAAGGGAAGTGACAGGAGCCCACACAAGGCCATGAACATGCCCTGTAGTTCTGTTTGTGAGAAGGAGAAGGACAAGGAGGAAGAGGAGGAGGAGGAGGAGGAGGAGGAGGAGGAGGAGGAGAACAACAACAACAAGATGATGATGATGATGATGATGATGATGATGATGATGACGATGATGATGACGACGATGACCAGAGATGGAGTAGACAGCTAGCTTCAGGACTAGAGAGTAAGGGTAAGAGGTTGTCAGAGAGCTCAGGAGATGCCAATTAGATGAGAAAGTCCTAGAATTCAATAGAGGTGCTGGTGGCACAGTAACTTGAGTGCCTTGCATGGCACCAGCTGTGCTCTGTACTGGAGATGAAGGAAGCCGCGGGCTGTGCCATGTGCATTGTCACAGCCGAGGCTGCTACTTCCAACTCTCTCTTTTCAGTGTGGATCAGCCTCTACTACGCAGCCTTCTACGTGGTCATGACGGGGCTCTTCGCCTTGTGCATCTACGTGCTGATGCAGACCATCGACCCCTACACCCCAGATTACCAAGACCAGTTGAAGTCACCGGGTAAGTTATCAGGAGGGTGTTGGCAGTGTTCATGGAGCAGCACCCAACGGGGCACAGCAGAGTCCCTTCCCCCACACACACCCAGGGCAGAAGCCCCACAGCCTCCCAATAGGGACAAAGACTCCAAATTGTAAAGACTGATTTTGTCTTTAGTTTTAAGTAATAAAGGGGTTAGGAGAAAGGGTCACTGGGACAAGAAGCCTGTGCATTCATATATATGCCTATGCACACAGGGGAGTATCTGGAAGAACACACAAGAGACTGCAGGCAAGGGAGCAGGTCTGGGGGGTTCTAGGAAAAAGATCTGGAATGGAAATTTCCACTTTCTCAGTAATCCCTGGGACTGATGAGAGGAGAGAGGAGACCCTGCCATCTGAGGCTGAGAAACATGAAAATCAAGTCCTTTACCCTTGAAATCTTGTACAGCTGTTCTTTTCGCGACGCCCACAAAACCAGCAAAGCCCTGGCTCACATAAACAGAAAGCCAGCAACCTGAATGGGCCTGCTGAGCACAGTGGGGATTATTCCCCACCAAAGGCTGTGTGACATTTGTGGAAAAAATGAGTGACTTCATGTAAAGGGAGGAGGGAGTGAACCAGCGCTAGAAAAAGTCAGAGATGGGCAGGTGGCTCCAGGCCACTTGCACATGAGTCTGCACCATGAGCTCGAACTCCTTACATTCCATCTGTTAGCAGAACCAAGGCAACAGTCGGCGGATAGCAGATAGCAAGGGACTCGGTGACACCCCCCTCCATTTAGCCTATTACAATGAGTTTGTATTTAATTAGAACCAGCGCAGTATTTTAAAAGTATTTCTTACATTTTTGTTTACTTGTGTGTGCGGGTGTGCATGTGTGGGCGCACACACCGCGGTACATGTGTCATGAGAAGACAGCCCCTCGGGAGTTGGTTCTCTCTTTCCTGTTGGTTCCAGGCATCACATTCGGGTCATCAAGGTTGGGGGGCAAGCACCTTTGCCTGCTGAGCTATCTTGCAGCACAAATGAAAAGGTATTTTTTTTTATGCCCATGGGATTTTGCCTGTATGTCTGTCTGTACACCTGTAAGTGTGTACCTAGCTTGTCCTGGAACTTGAGTTACAGACGGTTATGAGTTGCCATGTGGGTGCTGGGGATCCAACCTGCCTGGGTCCTGTGGAAGAGCAGCCCGTGCTCTTAGCCTGTGAGCCACCTCTCCAGCGCCCAAGTGAAAATATTTTTTTCTTTTTTTCCTTTGAGACAGCCCTGGCTGTCCTGGAACTCTGTGTAGACCAGGCTGGCCTCTACCTTCGGAGTGCTGGGATTACATGGGCCACTACGCTGGCTCCCAAGTGAAAAACTCTTGATGTGTGTTTAGATTCCTTTTCCCTAGACACCCACCCACAGGCAGTGGGGAGCACTCCCCAGAGGCTAGCACCCACTGCACCAATCCTGTTCATGACTCCCCCAGACCCAGAGTCCCCTGTGGAGCATGTAGCACTATTACTGGGCCTGGGCATCCAGAGTCCCGGGGACAGGACAGACCTTTGTGCCCACTGAGCTGCATTCTTCAGAGGGCCAGGCCCCAGGACCTGCGTCCTCAGAGGCCTTGGGCCCTTCTTTATAGCATCCCTGCCAAACTTTCCTGGCTAGAGGGTGCCTGTCCTGCAGCTCCCGCCCAGGAAGGTGAGGAACTAGTTCCATGTCAGATGCATCTACCTGTGGTTGGGACTTGTGTGAGACTGGATAGCCTCGGGGCCCGGGGCTCGGTATAAGTGAGCACTTGGAGAAACCAATCAAGGAGGTGCTCTTTCCTTCCAGGGGTAACCTTGAGACCTGATGTGTACGGGGACAGAGGGCTGAAGATTTCCTACAACGTCTCTGAAAACACCTCCTGGGCTGGCCTCACAGACATCCTCCACAGTTTCTTAGCAGGTGGGGGAACACGAATGCAGCAAAATGTCTAAGAGAGAACTCAGGACGACCTCCTCCACAGACAGTGTGGGGCTGGGGACTCGGGATCTCCCCACAGACAGTGTGGGGCTGGGGACTCAGGATCTTCCCCACAGACAGTGTGGAGCTGGGAACTCGGGATCTCCCCCACAGACAGTGTGGAGCTGGGAACTCGGGATCTCCCCCACAGACAGTGTGGGGCTGGGGACTCGGGATCTCCTCCACGGACAATGTGGGGATGGGTCTTGGGAACGCCTCCCTGGACAGCTTGGGGCTGGCTGATGAGAAGATGTATATTCTACAGGCTACACCCCAGCATCCCAGCAGGACAGCATCAACTGTACCTCCGAAAAGTACTTCTTCCAGGAGACTTTTGCGGCTCCAAACCACACCAAGTTCTCCTGCAAATTCACTGCAAACATGCTGCAGAACTGCTCGGGCCTGGTGGACCCCAGCTTCGGCTTCGAGGAGGGAAAGCCCTGCTTCATTATTAAAATGAACAGGGTGAGTGTCAAGGCCCCACTTTGGAGGTGGCCCTGGAGTGGTAAGGAACCCCCTCCTCACACTTAACGATGGTCCTGGGCCCTTTACCATGCCCCACCCTGACTCCTCCATTCATATTCATTATGTTCAGCTCTTAAACACAAGTCTAGAATTTTCTACTCAGACAGTGTCTTGCCAGCCTTATAACTATAAATACTGTATAGACACGACACAGAGCTAATGAAGGAGATCTCGTCACCAGCAGGGCCTTGAGTTGTGGATTCAGACTGGGAGGAGCTGGGGCATCCTACATGGTCTCCTTCTGCCCCAGAAACAGGAGTCTTTCAGGGTTGGTCCTACAGGAATCACTGGGGCTTCAGTGGTACTGAAGCCGGTGGCAGTAAGTCCCACCAATGCCCTAAGAACAGAGGCACCATAAGCAAGAGGAAGAAATGCAGCCAAGCTGAGTGGCACTCAGGCAATAGGGGCTTGGGGTCACTCTTCAAGGGACCAAGTGGCAGGTGAAGACCCAATCAGTCTCACCGTTCATTTCCATCTTACGAGGTCTTAGAAAGCCACACACTCGTGCAACTGAACCCACCACAAGGCTATACAGCGTGGAAGGGCTCCCCAAAGCTGCCTGGTGAGCGGGGTGTGATCAGGCTGCACTGGTCCATGTGGCAGCTGACGCTCTTGCCAAAGGCAGGTCCTGTTCAGAGCTCAGGAGACAATGGCTGAGGCGCAAGAAGTCTAGGGAAGGAATGTGAGGCTTTGGGGACCACTGAGAGCAGCAGGTAGACCCATTCTGCAGCAAGGAAGGCTGCTACACATCACCACAGCAGACGCGAACACTCTGCCACTGCCAGCCGCCCTCCTACACCGCAGTACCCCAGGGCGATGGCTCAGAAGCATACGTGAGTATCCACCTGCACACCGGGGTACATAGCAGCCTTTTTTCCAGATTGTCAAATTCCTGCCCAGCAACAACACGGCCCCCCGAGTGGACTGCACCTTCCAGGTGAGTACAGCTGAGGTTGGGGGAGGGGACCCAAGTTAAGCCTGAGCACGGTCACCTGTCAAGCATTGCCTGGAGCGATAACACAAATGCATGATATAATGCTGAAGCTGGGGTTCCCCCACCACCAGGTCTGTGCAGCACTCAGAAAGCCGGGCATCGATGTGGGTGACTCACCATCCTACCCCCACACGGTCTACAGTTTTTATTTATAAAAATATTCCAGACCACCAACAGCGTTGTTGCTTAATGGGGCTTAGTATGTCATTAATCTCTTACAAAATGACTAAGGACAATATTGAATACTAAACTTACCTTCATTAAATGTTTCCCAAGGTTTGTTTATAATACTGAGCCCTAACTGACATGTCAAAAGGGCACCTCCAGGAGTGATCCAAGGAACATTTGTCTCCCCAGAGCTCTGTCCCTAGGCGTCAGGTGTTTGTTTGCTCTTCACTTTTGAAATGATTGTGGCCACACACAAGCTGACCTTAGATTTGAGAGGTCATTGTTCCTGGATGAATGTGAGCGACCCGTTGGGCAGGTCTGCCTCCAACAACGAAAGGAAATAGCTCCCAAGAACAAGTGTCTACACTTAATCCAGCAAACTGCACCGACCCCGAGCCTGGCTTGGCAAATGAGCCCTTGGTCTTGCCAGCTTTCACCTCACAATGCTAATAAGCAAACACAGTTTCCCCAATTCCACCACTCACCTAGGACTCTCAGATGGAACAAGTGGGGGGTGGGAAGTGGCTGAGGTTCGGCCTTTTGTGGAACTGGGTCCTTGCCAGGCTCTCAGGCCTGACTATGAAAGCTGGCCAGGTGCAGACCCTATCGCTCTGACGTGCAAAGTTTTGTTAGGATCCCCGGCACTGCCACGAGTGCTTGGCACACGGCACACACACAGCTCGCAAGTGTACTTGGACACAAAGGTGCATGTGCCCGGTGCTCCTGGACTCAGCTGCGGTCTCTCCTCCTTAGGAGGATCACCGACATCCCCAGAAGTACCCTGAGCCCCTGCAGGTTGAGTACTACCCACCCAATGGTACCTTCAGCCTCCACTACTTCCCCTACTACGGCAAGAAAGCCCAGGTAGGTCTGTTTCACTCGGCCCCAATGTGCTTGCTAAGTTACTTAGCAACAGGAAAGCCATTTTCAATTAAAAATAAAAAAGACAAAGGCAAAGGCAGAGCAAAGGGGCACACACCTGTGATCCCGGCACCTGGGAGGTGGCAGCAGGAAGATCGGGAGCTTAAGGTTTTCCCCCAAGCGTCTCATTCCCCTGTACTCCCACTGAAGCCCCATTACAGTAACCCTCTGGTGGCAGCAAAGCTTCTCAACGTCCCCAAGAACACAGAAGTCCTCATCGTGTGCAAGATCCTGGCAGACCACGTGACCTTCGACAATCCCCACGACCCGTATGAAGGGAAAGTGGAGTTCAAGCTTACAATACAGAAGTAGGCAGGAGTGGTCCTCCACACCTACCGACGCCCAGCAGGCCCCTCCCTCTTGACGGCATACCCTCTGCTGGGCATCGCGCACAGCCACATCCAACACAGTTCAGCTGGTGACACCATCGGTTGACACCAGGACACCATGCTCCGGCCAGCCCTCCCCTGAACATCACCAGCTCTATTATATGTATGTTTTCTTACATGTCTGCAATCCGATTGTAGCTGTGGGGTTACCACAGGAGCCCAGAGTGACCCATCTGTCGGTGTTACTGCCCAGTGATCACCTGTCTTTCCTGAGCTTCAATATGAACTGAGGGTCCATATCAGTGTAACATTGGTCACCCCGGCATGACACATTCCCAATTTGTGCCTCTGAGACTCCAACCCCCGTGCCATAAAAACAAACTATATTAAAAACATTCTTATCCTGTGTGGAAAAGTCCTGTCTTTCCTGAGCCGGGGGAAAAAAATTACGAAGAACCAAATGCTCTTTTCTTTAAAGCCTTTCTATGATTTCAATCACAGTACAAGTGTCCTTGGCACCTCAGTCACTGGGGCACACAGCTCAGAGATGGCTTAAGGTGCAGGGACGCTCAGTTCCACACAAACAGCCTGCCACCTTGCCCACAGACCTACCCTGTGACCATCTCCAGTCTTAGCCTCCAAGGTTTCAGGCTCTTTCCTTCAAGACGCTCACCCTTCTTATCACTTCCTTCCCATCCAAAGAGCCCGCATTTGTCTCTTCCAAGCTGAGATAGAACACAGCACGGGAAGACACAGACGCATGCGCACACACGGTGCCAACAGGTACAGGGCTTCCTGGGGTGTAAGACCTAGACATGCATCTACCGTTCTGTGTACCCCCTTCATGTTCCGCACTCTGTAGAATATCTTACAGTAACTCGAGGCTCAAGAGTTGGGGGAAGGGGTCATTTTCATTTCCATTAGCAAACAGCGGTTTTCAGAAGCATCCACTGATTCGACCAAGCCAAGTAAAACATCCAGCTCCGTATTGATTGGGGTGACTATTGCTGTGATGAAGCACGGTGACCAAATTGGGGAGGAAAGGGTTACACTTCCATATCACTGTTCATCATCACAGGAAGTCAGGACAGGAACACAAACAGGGCAGGAGCCTGGAGGCAGGGGCTGATGCAGAGGCCTTGGAGGGGTGCTGCTTACTGATTTTTCTCCTCATGGCTCTCCCAGCCTGCTTTCTTATAGAACCCAGGGATGACTCCACCCACAGTGGGCTGGGCCCTCCCATATCAACAACTAATTAAGAAAATATACAGTCCAATCTTATGGAGGCATTTTCGCAGTTGAGGTTCCCTCCCATCAGACGACTCTAGCTCGTGTCAAGCTGACATAAAACCAGCCAGCACAATTGCTCCCTTGTCACTAGACACAAAAACACATCACTGTAAAGCCACGACCTTTCCTTTCTCATTCATCCCTGAGATCTCACGTAAGAACATAAACAACTTTAAAAGTTCCACAGTCTTTACAAATGCAGACATCAACAATTCATCCCTTTAAAATATCTCGTCTCTTTAAAATTCCAAAATCTCTTTTAAAAGTTCAAAATCTCGGGGCTGGAGAGATGACTCAGAGGTTAAGAGCATTGCCTGCTCTTCCAAAGGTCCTGAGTTCAATTCCCAACAACCACATGGTAGTTCACAACCATCTGTAATGAGGTCTGGTGCCCTCTTCTGGCCTGCAGGCATACACATAGACAGAATATCGTATACATAATAAATAAACATTTAAAAAAAGTTCAAAATCTCTCAACTGTGGGTGCTTGTAAAAATAAAAAATTTAGTTAAACGGTTTACTTCAAGAGGGAAGAACCAAGGCATAGTAACAGTAAGATCAAAGCAAAACAAAACTCCCGACAGTGTATATAAAGCAATGTCAGTCTGGGACGCACACACAACCTACTGGACTCCTCCAAAGGGTTTCGGTCACTCCTCCGGCTCTGCCCTCTGCAGCACACAGTTTGTCCTCTAGGCTCTGGATGGTTTCAGTCCACTGCTGCTGTTATTAGTGTTCATCCCATGGCCCTGGCGTCTCCACAATGCTGGTGTCCTCTGCTGCAACTGGGCTGCACTTTCAACAATGGCTCTCCTCATGGTGCCAAGCCTCCGTGAACCTTTCAGTTCTGGGGCTTCAACTATTACGGAAGTCACACCTTCTCCAGTGCCCTATCCTGGACTCTCACAGTACAGCTGCTTTTCATGACCCCGTCATCACTTCAAAACCAGCAACACCTGGGAGACCCCGACACTACCAAATTCAGCCAGCAGCAGAAGGTGCAAGCTTGACCATCTTTGGAACACAGCCTCTGGGTGTGGACTCTGAGGAAACACTTCTCAGAAGATTTTACCGTAGTGGTGAAGGTCTCATCTTACTCATCGATAACCACTCAGCTCCAGCTGACCAGCATCTATTGTCCCAGTAAAGCACGGGTTTCTCTATTGTTTCTGGTCTCTTGTTAATCACAGCTGATTTCTCGGCCCACAGATTCTTGATTCAGAAGTCCTGGTTTCCCTCCGAACCTTCACAAGCCAGGCCTCCATTGTCTAAACTGCCCTCAATATTCCTTTCTTTCACGCTCCCACAGAACAGCTCACTGAGTTCTCAACACTCAACGGCTTTTCTAGCCCAAAGTTCCAAAGTCCTTCCATAATCCCCCTTCAAAATAACACGGTCAGGTCTGTCACAACACTCCACTCCTGGGACCAACTTGTGCTAGCTATGATTACTATCGCTATGAAGAAACACCACGACCAAAGCAACTCAATGAAGAAAAAGGGTTTTTTTTGTTTTTTTTTTGGTTTACACTTCCACATTGTAGTCCATCACTGAAGGAAGTCAGGACAGGAACTCAAGCAGGGCAAGAACCTAGAGACGAGAGCTGATGCAGAGGCCACGGAGGGAAGCTGATTACTGGCTTGCTCAGCCTGGTTTCTTGTAGAACCCAGGGATGACGCCACCCACAATGGTGGACTCTCCTACATCAGTCACTAATTAAGAAAATACCCTACAAGTGTGCCTTGGATCCTATGGAGACATTTTCTCAGTTGGGATTCCCACCTCTCCAAACTCTAGCTTGTGTCAAGCTGACATAAACTATATAGCATACCCTTTCATGCCTGGCAGTCTTTCCTTCCTACCTACCATAAAATCTGCAACTTGACATTTTTAGGGCAGCCCGGCGACATCTGCTTGCTCACACAGCTTCACACCCATTGTCCGCATCTACGCACAATGTTCCTCATCTCCCTACACAGTCACTGTATCCACCAAGCACTTACTACACACCCCAAGCCCCGACAACCACTCCACCTTCTGTCTCCTTGAGTCTAACTTTGGGGCCTCATATGAGTGGGGCCATATGATACAGGATGCCCCTCTGTATGCTGTGAATATGTTTTATTAACACTGGTTAATAAAGAATCTGCTTTGGCCTATGGCAGGGCAGAATATAGCTAGGCGGGAAATCCAAACAGAACAACGAGGAGAAAGAAGGCAGAGTCAGTGAGATGTCAACAGTCTCTGGAGTAGATGCCAGAGCATGACCAGCAAGCCACCGAGCATGTGGCGATACACAGATTATTAGAAATGGGTTAATTGATATGTAGAGATAGCCAGTAAGAAGTCTGAACCATCAGCCAAACAATTATAATTAATACTAAGCCTCTGAATGATTAATTCCTAAGTGGCTGTAGGGACCAGGCGAGACAGAAAAGCATCCGGTTACAACCATACAGCATTTGTTCTGATTGGCTGATACTCACAGGTTTCATCATGTGTCAGAATTTCCTTCTCCGTTAAGACTAAAGTTTTAAAAATTTAGTTGGTATTGTCCACATCTTGTCCTTTACGTCCTTTATTGGTGAGCACTTGGGTCGTTTGTACCTTTTTGTTATTGGTGATCAATGGTGCTGTGATCGTAAGTGTGTGATGTGTCTCCAAGACCCGCGTCTAAGGTTTTCCACATACAGCAAACTCCCGTTTTTAATTCTTTAAGGGACAGACCTCGTGTTTTCCACTAAGGTGACTGCATTTCTCATATCCACCAGCAGGAATTCGACCTCCTGCCTCCTAACCAGCATGCACCAGTTGTTCAGCTTTCTGTTGCTAAAGTGAATGAGATAAGCCGTTTAGTAGAGAACGAAGGTTCATTTGGGCTCACAGCTGTGGCCTTCAGGTTGACCAGGTTGACCTATTGTCTAGTAAGTGTCTAGTAGGGGCATGATATCATGGCAAGACATAGTGAATGAAGCTTTCCGAAACATTATGGTCAGGACACAGAAAATTTTTTTTTAAAAAAATCTCAAATTCCAGGATTCCTCTTAAGGGCAGATCTCCCAAAAGGACTGAAGTCTTCCCACTAGACCTCCCCTCTTACAATCCCCCAGCTTCCCAAAGCGTCACACTAAGGGACAGCCTGTATGGGCCTTGGCCTGGAAACGGGGCTCAGTTGGTAGCACCTACCTAGCTCGTACAAAGCCCTGGGTTAGAACCCAGCATATATAAACCTGGTATGGTGACACGTTTGTAATCCTAGCACTTGGGAGTCAAAGGCAGAAAGAACAGAAGTTAATGCTCATCTTCAGCTATGTAGCAAATTTAAGGTCAGTCTGGGATACTGGAGACTATGTCTTAAAATGACAACAAAAAAGAAGAAAACCACACCCCAGACAAAAGCTGTGAGGGGCCATTACAGATCCAAGCCGTAGCGACTTAGCATTTAGAGACTCAGACCATAACGACTTGGCATTTACTCTATTTTCTGCGTCACAGGTCTCCATCCTCAAAGTGACGTGGCATCTCTTTATGGTTCTAATTCCCATTTCTCAATTCTTGTTGTGTCGAGTACCTTCTCACGTTCTCAGACCACTGCCGATCTCCAGAGAGGCGCTGGACCACAGCCTTGCCCATTATCCACCAAGTGCTTCTCTTGCAGGGTTTGCACAAATGGAGATGTTTTTCTTATTTTTTTTTTACCCTGACTTCCCTGAATAGAATTTCTAGGACTATGTTGAGCAGAAGTAATAGTGGCCCTCACCATATTCTAATCAGTACCTCACCCTGTGCATCACGCTCAGAGGCCATTCATTCATGACCTTACATCTGTTTCTTTCAATATCTGCTGACCATCGATGCTTTTTCTGCATCAGAGATGAACATGTAGGTTTAGTTGTTGGTCTCAATTATATAGTGTGCACAGGAGCTATTTTTTCAATGCATTAGTCTCTTAAGTTATGAAAAAAACGTTGCAATGCTAGCAATGTTTTGTTGTTCCTATGTTTACATCGTGTCCTTCATTTTGGTTTCTGGTCACTGTTTAGGATCCTTATAATGAGATTTAGTGCCCTCTTCTGGCCTGCAGGTATACATACAAGCAGAACACTGCATACCCAATAAATAATTCTTTTAAAAAAAAAAGAAAGAAAATTCTTGTCCGGCAGTGGTGGCAAACACCTTTAATCTCAGCACTCGGGAGGCAGATCTCTGTGAGTTCGAGGCCAGCCTGGTCTTCTGAGGAAGTTCCAGGACAGGCTCCAAAACTACAGAGAAACTGTCTGGGGGAGGTAGGACTCTTAGGGAAGAGAGTCCAAGTTGAAGCAGGGTCTTACTCTGTAGCCTGTCCAGTGACAGGATATGAAACTGAAAATCAAATCCTGAAAAAAATCTTTACAATTTATTATTGTTTGTGTGCATGATTCCAGAGACTGCTCTCAGGTCGCTAGGCTTATACAGCAAGTGCTTCATGGGCTGACAGGTCTCCTGATGGCTGTCCTATTGCTCTTTCCAGCATTCTCAACATATCAGCCTACTGCCTCGCAGCCTCACAGATGGCAAATGTCTGGATGTTTCTGAGGAATGCACACATGTGACGAGTGAGTTTCTATTGCTGTGAAGGGACACCATGATCATGGCAACTCATAAGGAAAACATTTCCTTGGGGTAGCTTAGTTTCAGAGGTTTAGTCCATTACCATCGCGGAGGTGTGCAGGCAGACAAAGTGCTGCAAAAGTTGCTAGAGTTCTCCATCCTGCAGGCCACAGGGAATGGACTGAGACAGTGGGCGGTATCCTGAGCATAGGAAACCTCAAAGTTTGCCCCCACAGTGACAGACTACCACTAACAAAGTCATATCTCCTAATAGTGCCACTCCCTATAAGCTTATGCAGACCAAACTACCACAGTTCTTTCAACATCACCTGGAAAATACATCCATGAGAACACAGCCTCAGTTTACTTGGAACGTGTTTCTTGGATGCTTCACCAGGGGGCCTTTCACAGCTTAGAGTTCAGTCACATACAGTTCTTCACACATTCTCGCCTGTCAGAGCTGTGTTCCTTCTGTCTTTAACATTTTTTCTCCTGTTCCCTCAGACTGGGGAATCATCAAGTTTGCTAATTCTACTTCTGATGCTACCTAGTGAATTATTCCAGTCCATTCTGCCCAGGATTTCTTTCTAGCCTCTCGGGCACAATGTCTGATCTACCGCTTCCTGCAAGTGCAACACCATTTTCGTTTTCCTCATGTCCTCTTTCTGCTGAAGACAAGACAATTAAATCTGTTCACAAAGTCCAGAAAGTGAATTCTATTTTCAAGGTTTGCTGCTCTGAACTCTCAGTTGTGGGTTATCTGCATTCGGGGTGGATCAGCCAGAAATGCCACCCACAGGCCTTTTCAAGTCAACTCTGCACCTCTTTCCCTGGGCATGCCCAGTCAACTTCCCAAACAGAAGGTTGCTTTTTTTTTTTTTTTAAATATTTATTTATTATGTATACAATATTCTGTGTGTATGCCTGAAGGCCAGAAGAAGGCACCAGACCCCATTACAGATGGTTGTGAGCCACCATGTGGTTGCTGGGAATTGAACTCAGGACCTTTGGAAGAGCAAGCAATGCTCTTAACCTCTGAGCCAACTCTCCGGCCCCAGAAGGTTGCTTTTTAATGTCTGAGTTTTCAGTGTCTGGAATCCCAAAGGAGAAAAGAAAAATGGAGGAGAGGGGTGGAAAAAAAGGTACCAACTTTTAAATCTAGTCAGCCAAAGGGTAGAAGAGCTTGAAGCCATAGTGAAGCTCCAGTGTCAAGAACCTCTTGTCTGTACCTATTTCAAACAGTCCCTAAGTAGTTGTACCAGTGCATTTGTCTAGGCATGAAGAGACTGCTGGTATACCCATTCCTCCTCTCCAGAATGCTCAGTCTTCGAGTATTTTTGAAAGTCAAACCTACAAAGTGAACCCTAACTTTCAGGATAGAGGAAAAGGTCAAAGACCGAACCTCTGTACTTGGGCACCCAGAGAAGGTACTCATGACCCAATTCCTGCTTTATCTCCTTTCCTACTTCCTGATCCTGCCGTGCCTGGCACTGGAGGGACTGTGAGGCCATTAGACATACCAGGACGCTGCCGCTGAGCTGGTGTCCAAGTCATCCACTCACGACAGTCCAGAGTAATTTTAGAGTACAGTCCTGAGTCACACAAACACAGAGCCTGTTTAAAATGCCCATGCACGTTTTATTAATAAAACTAACAGTGCCGAGTTAAACAAGTCAAACAATTAAAGTCTCTTTATATTCCATAAAATATTACAGAAAAGTTTATTTGTGTTTCAATAAAAAGACTATCATTTTAGAACAGGCAGCTAAGAGCAACTGTGCAGTTAACGAGTTTTTGTGAATAAATTTTAAGAGACTATTGCCTGTCCTTAAATTCCTTTTTCTTTTTATAAAAAAAGAACTATTAAAAATGATTGACAAATTTTGAGTTAAAAAACTGTTAAAACATTCTCTATGTTTAATTTCAACTTTATAATAGATTACAGGAAGATGCTCATGAAACAAATACAACATTTGTTTCAGTACACGTCTTTAAATGATAGACTTATAAGTATGTAAACAACTATATAATAAAAAGTTTCCAAACGTAGCCTGTAAGAAATCAGGCAAATTTACCATAAGCAAACTTTCTAGACAATTTCCATAGCTGCACCAGCGTGGCAGTAAACTTCTTCCAAACAAAACAAAAACAAACAAACAAGAAAAACTACTTTGCAATTTGTTGTTGCAATAGAAAAAAAAGTGTACAAACTTGATGGAATTACAACAGTCAATATAATTTAAGGAAAAATAAAGTCATAATAAGACGTATGGCGCTTAATGTTTAAAAACTAGAGCTTTGCTATTGGCTTGGTTCTTTGGACACCGCATGATTTAACAAATGGAAGGAAAATTCACCCTGAAGTCTGGTAATTTACCACCTGGGTGCTGGATGCCCAGGAAGGATAGCATTTATTATTGTCACTGGTGTGGGTGCAGTGCAGTTTCCTCAGCAAACCCAGCAACAACTGTTGAGGGGCAAAATAAACTTCAAACAAAATAAAAAAGAGAAAGAGAAAGCGCAAAAACACAAAATCCTAAAAGTAAATATGGGCTCTGCATCAGCACGCTGGCTTCAAAACATCTGCAACGCAGCTCACACCATGGCGGGCACGGTCCTTACTGATGGTGCACAGCTAACCCAACAACTCATGGATATCTTCTTGGAAGCAGGCCAAAAAGAACAAAAAGTCCCACTTTAAGTTTTCTTCTCTAGTAATTTTTTCCTGAAGCTGAATTTGAAGAAGGGGTCTACAGGCTGAGTAATCAATCCTCCTCGTCGTTCTCATTAAAGTCATCGTCGTCATCATCATCCTCCCCAACATACGAAACAGGGGTCTCTACCCTGGAGCCGCTGTACTGAGACCCATTGGAGCTTGTGGCCAGCATCCCATCTGCACCATTGCTCAAGTCACTGCAAAGACAGACCCGTCAGTAGGGAGAAGCCCGTTCTGTCCATCCAAGAAAGGCTGGATATGACCTTAAGAGGTGGTGGGTTTTTTCCTTCCTTCCTTCCTTTTTTAAATTACAAGGCAGAAAAGGAAATTTTTGGCCATCTGCAATATTAGAACCCTAACCTGTAATAAGCTTTACTCTGCTTCGGCTTCCTCAGCCCATCCTCTTTAAACATGTAATAGTATAGTGCCTGGTCACTAGACCTCACATGAGATCCCTGAGATACTAAGGTAGGAAAAAGAATGGGTTGGGCATCAAACACCAAACAAGGAACAATTACCTTTGTAAAGCACAGGGTTCATTCCCTAATATTTACCCCTCTCTCTCTCTCCCTCCCTCCCTCCCTCCCTCCCTCCCTCTCTCTCTCTCTCTCTCACACACACACAAACACACACACTCACAATCTACAGCAACATGGGTCAGAATCGGGAATCACCACATATTTAGCGCAGGCTGAGCTGAAGGTGCTTATCAGTTAATGGAAAGTTACAATCATGGATCCTAGAGCTCTGACACTTGTCAGCCCTGTACAGGAAACACTAGCCTTCCTTCTGATGGTGAACTACATCTACAACGTTTACCATAGCAAAACTACTCTGAGGTGGTGAAGAACAGTCAAAGCCACAGCTGCCCTTTGGGCTGTTCCAGTAACTGCAGGAGACCTACACACTGTGTGCTAAACAGCACAACACCAACACTGCACTCCTCACGACAGGGCCAGGGCTTTATTCTCTCAATGTGAGAAGTGGGAAACTAGGAAAGGTCAGACAAAAAAAGAACCAATGGTCAGCCAGATGGTTCAATGGGTAAAGACTCACAACTTTGATACCCAGAACCCACATAAAGGTGGAAAGAGAGTCAACTTCATGAAGTTGTCTTCTGCCCTCCACATATTTAACACACACACACACGACTACAGAGAAAACACATTAGAACACATTCTACTTCAAGCAATAACTGTTGTTAAGCACATTCTCATTCAGCTCAAACTTCAGGACAAGAGCGAGAAAAGCTGATCTCGGAGAGCTAGTGCATTACAACACAGGAAACCTCAAACACAAATGTCACTCGCGCTGTCACCCCAAAAACCCTTGGAATAACACGAGGGTGTTCACTCACACTATGGCCTCAATTGACTCCAGCAACACCTATGGCTATTAACTTCAAACAATTCTACAATTAAATTTATATCTTATTAACATATAAGCATAACTTAGACTGTACCTACAACATAATAAGCAATACTCATTATTTCCTTGTTCCATTTCACTACAAAGGCCATTTTAAGGCTATCTCTTAAGTACACCACTCACCTTCTGAAATTGCTAGGCCAGATGATGGCTGGCATGTTTACTTAAACAGTGAAGGTCCTCCAACAACACAGAGAATAAAGAGATGCAATGTTGGGGAATATTATTTTCAGGTGTGTGACTTTTGTTTACACTGCATTTGTTTAACTCTGTGAAGCTGTTTCTGTGCCTGTCTAAAACACCTGATGGTCCTAATAAAGGAATGAACTGATGTGGAATTCCCCTCTGTATGCTGTGATTACCATTAATGAATGAAGGAACTGCTTTGGGCCTATAGCAGAGCTATAGGGGAACAGAGCTAGGCAGGGAAAACTAAGCGGAATGCTAGGAGAAAGGAGGTAGAATCAGAGAGAAGCCATGTACCCTGCCAGAGACAGATGCCAGAACTTTAGCTGGCAAGCCACAGCCACGTGGCAATACACAGATTAAAGGAGATGGGTTAAATTAATATGTAAGAGTTAGCCAATAAGAACTAATGGGAACTAATAGGCCAAGCAGTGATTTAAATAATACAGTTTCTGTGTGATTGTTTCAGGACTAAGAAGTCGGGAACTAACTAGCAGCCTCCTCCAACGACAAACGGCTAATAGCAAGGCAAGAGCAAGGATAGGCAAGGCTAGCAGGCAGAGCATATAAATAGGAGAACTAAGAACAAAAAGAGAGAAGAGCCAGAGAACAAGGAGAGGAGGACACCAGGGGCTAGACACTTAGCTACATAGCTAGCCACGGAGAAAGAAGTTAAGAAAGGTATACAGAAATAGAAAAAGATAAAAGCCCAGAGGCTAAAGGGAGTCGGATGATTTAAGAAAAGCTGGCAAGAAACAAGCAAAGCTAAAATTGGGCATTCATAAGTAGTAGGCCTTCATATGCGATTTACTTGGGAGCTAAGTGTCAAGCTCCCCAATAAGTCAAGAGTAAAATATCACATAATAATGCAATGAAACGCAAAGTGTTGGGCTGTCTGTGACATGAGGATCTGAATTGAGATCACTAAAACCCATGTAAAGTCGGGCCACAAACGTTACAGAGACAGCTCAGAGGTTAAGAGAACTGGTCACTCTTACAGGGTTCCTATCATCCTCTTATGGCCTCCACAGGTACCTGGCATGCATGTGGTGCGCAAACGTGTATGCACAAAACACTCACATACCATACAAATTTAAATAATATTTTAAAGAAAAAGCCATACTCAGCAGTAACCCTAGAACTAGGGGGCCAGAAGGTAGAGACAGGCAGATCTCTGGAGCTCGCTCGACCAGTTTAACCAATCTGTGAGCTCTGGGTTCAGTGAGAGAGTTTTAAAAAATAAGCAATAAAAGAAGATATCCTCCATGTGCACACGTACCTATACACACATGCATACACACAAAAAACAAAACACTACCGCCCCAGGGAAGCAGAGGAGCTGTTGCCAGTTGAAAGCCGCTGGAAGAAGAGTCAGTTTTGGTCAGGGATGTGGGCCCCAAGGGCTACCCAGGCCCGTCAGATAACCCCACACCCATGCACATGCATACCGGCAACACTAAGCAGACTTAGTGAGTGTGAGGGAGAGAGGGGTCGAGGACAAATGATCATATGCAAGGACATGAAGTCAGGAGGGAAGAGAGGGAGAGCAGGGGAAAGTGGTGGGGAGGAATGAGGGGCGGATTTGATCAGAGTGCATTGCATGCATGTATGAATGTAAGTAAAATACTTTTTAAAAAGAAAAAACAAACAAACCCACAAACCAACAGTAGGTTTTGACCAGGTATGGTATGGAGAGCTGTAATTCCAGCACTGGGGAGAGCGAGGCAACAGGATGTTAAGGTCAATGCCGGGCCTGGCTGTATAGTGAAACTGTCTTAAAGGGGAAAAAAAAAGGGGGGGGGGGGCTAGGAAGGTATTTTAGTAAGGTAATAGTGCTTGCTATGCAAACCAGATGAACTGAGTTTGGTTCCAGGATCCCACAGTGAAAGGAGTAAACAACTCCTAAAAGTTGTCCTCTGACTTCTACACAAGTACCATGATGTGTATGCTAACACTCACATACACACAATAGCAGATTTTTAAAAAATGGGGCCAAAAGCACTTGCCACACAAGCCTGGAGACAAAAGTTTGACCCTTGGAACCATGAAAAGGTGGGAGAGAATTGATTCCACACATGCCCACATACATCATATACACAAACACGCAAATAATAATAATAAAAAAACAAAAGTGTTTATAAATATAGTATATAGAAACAGGAAATAAAATTGTATACACACTGTATCATCAGATATATTTTAAGAAAATAGCCATTTAAAAAAAAAAAAAACAAAAACTATTAAAAACAAAATACCAGTTAGGTGGTGGCAGCACACGCCTTTAATTCCAGTGCTCAGAAGCAGATGAATCTCCAAGTTTGAGGCCTGGTCTACAAAGCAAGTTCCAGGACAGCCAGGACTACACAGAGACCCTGTCTCAAATCCCCTCCCCCAGAAAAACAAACCCCCAAAGAAAACAAAACCTTTGACACTTTCCCTGCTGAGGACAGCAGGACATGCGTAGGTTTGTAAGTCTGCACCTTACTATCAAATACTAAAAAAAAAAAAACCAACAACAAGCCGGGCAGTGGTGGCGCACGCCTTTAATCCCAGCACTCGGGAGGCAGAGGCAGGCGGATCTCTGTGAGTTCGAGACCAGCCTGGTCTACAGAACTAGTTCCAGGACAGGCTCCAAAAGCCACAGAGAAACCCTGTCTCGAAAAACCAAAAAAAGGAAAAAAAAAAAAAAAAAAAAACAGCAAAACAATCACATAAATCTATATATCCATGGGGGGCATTCTGCAGGAATAAACACCATGTCCCCGCCTATCTGACACAGTAGAGCTGCCCCACCCCCAGTTGTCACCTGGCGGAAAGCCTTGTGCCATTGGATGTAGAACCTGTTGTTGTGACGAATACTCCACCAATGGATCCCTGAGCCATTTCTAAAAAGAGAGAGAAGCAAATGGAAGTAAAACTGGGAAGCCAGGCATGGTGGCACCTGCCTTTAACCCCTGTACTTGGGAGGAAATTCTCTTGAGTTCTGGACTAGCCAGAGCTATACAGTAAGATCATCTCTAACAAAGAGAAACTCCTGAGACCCAATGTGCAAGAAAGAAGCAAGGCTACATGACAGCCACAGCTTGGGGAGATCCTCGAACACCCTGACTGGGTGCTTTCCACACCATCTGTAATATGAACCAGGGCGGCTGGTTCCCAGGCAGGCAGGACAAGGGCAGCATGTTCCCCTCAGAAGGGGCGCCCAGTGCAGCTCTGTGTGCCAGAAGCAGCCGAGGGCAGAAAGAACGGACAGCACAAGTGCACAGCATCCCCTTACAGCTGAGGCCCCAGAGCTCTACAGGAGCAGAAGGCAGGGCCCAGGCCAGGTGTTAAGCCTGCATCTACTGCTCTGCTGCAGGACGGCTGAGTGCAGGCAGGAGCTAATGTCCCCAAGCCTCAGACAGGGCAGGACAGATACTCATGTGATCTGGGACAGAGTTCTTAACACATAAGGAGTCCCTGACAACAATCTCAGAAAGCAAATTCACACCATGCATTTTTGACTGTTGAACACGATCCTTTTTTTTTTTTTTTTTTAAATGAATTACCACTAGGGTATGGCAGTGGTGTCATGACCTGAGCTCAGCAAAGTCACTAAAAGCCCGGGAATGGACAGCCCTACTCCATGCTATCCTGACTAAGGGAACACCAGTAGTTCACACGGCCATTCTTGCTGCTGCTTATAAGGACCAACTGACAGCCTTTGGAGTGCTTCAGGCCCATTACCTCCATCCTCCCTCAGGAGACAGATTCTCACTCCATAACACGCCATCATGAAAACCACAAATGTCGCTCGCAGAACCTAACAACCACGTGTCCAGCAGGTGCCACACCAAAGAGACCGATGTTCAGCCAAGTACTAAGGATGTAGCAGGTCACATCATGGCCAGTTACAGGGCACAACTGACCTGTCACATATGGTTCTAGAGCTTTTGGTACCAAACTTCTCGCCACCTTGAGGTCTTCAGCAGAACAGTTCCCCGATTCCAGCCCGCATGCCATGCCCATGCGCTTGAGCACCTCGATATCGTCATGGATTTCAAACGTGTTGTCGAAGTTAAACAGATACTCAAATCTGCGGGGGAAAGGTACTGTGAGAATTAGGGGCCAGTACTGTAGGTGGGGACAGACAGCAGTTCCTCCCTACTACCCTCCACATCCTCCATCCCAGATCCTGTAACTGAACTTCTCCAAAAAAGTTTGAACTAGAGAATGAAAGACAAACCATTGCATAAGTCTGCAAACTAATGTTTTGTTCTAGGCATGGCACTGAGCCTGGACACAACACTGCCTGCACATCACTGGGCAGGGACACAATGCTACCTGCACATCACTGGGTAGGGACACAATGCTACCTGCACATCACTGGGTAGGGACACAATACTGCCTGCACATCACTGGGCAGGGACACAATGCTGCCTGCACATTACTAGGCAGGGACACAATACTACCTGCACATCACTGGGCAGGGACACAACGCTACCTGCACATCACTGGGCAGGGACACAACGCTACCTGCACATTACTAGGCAGGGACACAACGCTACCTGCACATCACTGGGTAGGGACACAATGCTGCCTGCACATCACTGGGAAGGGACACAATACTGCCTGCACATTACTAGGTAGGGACACAATGCTGCCTGCACATCACTGGGTAGGGACACAACGCTGCCTGCACATTACTAGGTAGGGACACAACACTGCCTGCACATCACTGGGTGGGACACAACGCTACCTGCACACACATTCTTGCTGCTGGGTCATAAGGACCACTAGAGACCACAAATATTGTAACTAAGCAGCCTTAAGGCTGTTATCAATGTATCCCAGAGTTCGTTCCCTAAGAGGACTACACTTGGAGGACCCATTGAGGACGAACTTGTCATTGGAGATGCTGCAGTCAATGACGGTCTTCCTGCTGGTGTTCACAATGATGAAGGGCAAGTGGATGACAGAGTTGGGAGGAGGTGGCCGGCGGGCCTGCTGCTCGGCTTGGCGGTTCCTCTGCACCAAGTTCTTGAAGGCAATTTGCTGAAAAAGACCAACAGGGCCCCCGGGCAGATGTCAATACCAGTACAACAATCACTGTCCTTCCTGCAGACAGTGGGAACCTGGGTGATGAGAGATCAGCTTTAGCAGTCCTGACATCTGCTGAAAGTCTATAGGGGACAAGGGGCACAGGCAAAGCAACTACACAGGCAGAGGCCCTGATCCCCATACAATAAAAAAAATTCAACCTTGGCAAGTAAGGGCAGGAAATGGGGAGTGGTTGGGCCACTACCTACCCAGCCTCCTTTTTCCTCTGGGAAGAGAATCCCTGATTTCCCAAATCTTCTTGGTACCTGAAAATGGCCCCCACACAGGGAAGAGCTATGTCACCAAGCACTAGGTCCTGAGCACCACTCCTTCACCAGTCACATTTTAGGTAGTTAAGATGGCATTGTGAAGCCAGGCAGTGGTGGTGACACCTTTAATCCCAGCACTCAAGAGGCAGAGGCAGGGAAATCTCTGAGTTCAAGCCTGGTCTACATAATGAGTTCCAGGACAGCCAAGGCTACACAAAGAAACTGTCTCAAAAAACCAAGAAGAAGAAGAAGAAGATGGCCTTGTGAGGGGCTAGGATCATGTTGGGATCTCCAGCTCTAATTATTATGTGTCCTGGATACCTACGGTCATCCCAGGCTGGTGACCAATGACCCCCAAGATCAGTATCATCACTTGGTCTTCTGGAAGGTCCAGCCTGCTCTGCCATAAGCCCTGCACACACCATCTTCTCTAGATGGCCACACTCTAGTAGCCCACAGTCCCAGGACTACTTCACATGAACATATAGCCTCAACCACAATGTCCAGGAGCTGTCAAAACTGACATCTACAGAGTTCATGGCATGCCTACAAGTGCTTAGACACACTTGCTCGGTCAGTCTCTCTGGGAACAAGACCTGTGTGGCCAACAGCCTGCTTCCAGAGGGAAGGTGGGGTGCTCAGATGGGCCACTACCTGCAAGATGAGCTCCTGGAGCTGTGACTGCTTCTGCTTGATCCTCTCCAGCCTCCGCTGCCTCTCTACCTGCAGAGAGAACAGTGAGGAGGGGTTGCCCATTAGCAGGCAGACTGACAAACTGCACCTGCCAGGCCACAGGCACTAGCTCACCAATGGCATCGGCCACAGAGAAACAGAAGGCCAGTGCCCCTGCAACTTCAACATTACACTTGATCCTTTCTCAGAGTTGGAGGGTTATATATTTGTGTACACACACAACGACAACAGAAAAACTCATAAGGATTGGGAATTAAGCTCCCTGCCCCACAGCTATATGTAAAAACTGCCTGGCAACAGAAGCTAATAAACACAAAGGGACTCCCATGACATCAACTCAGCCACCTGACATGGCCCTCTCAAGTGACCAAGGACAAAGAACACCTATTTTAGGCTGTGCACCTCTAGGTTCTGGCACTCCTGAGCTGAGTTGGTGGGTAGGCCGATCCACTTGATCTCCTTCTTCTCCTTGGAGATGATGTTCATGGCCATCAGCACGTTTAAGGCATCGTAGACACGCCGCCGAATGTTCTTCTGGTCATAAGCCTAGAAGACAAAGCGAGTCTTCTTGGTGACCTGATGGCTTGGAAATTAACATTTGAGGTTCAGACCGCATGCATGTCCCAAGGGGAAACTCCTGATCATCCTCTGTGACACTGGTCTTGCAGATGGCCCAGGTTACTTCTTATACCGAACCAGGAATCCTCAGCATCTACCTACCACTGCTTCAACTTGAAAGGCTGAGCAACCCAAGTTCATGTACTTCCAGAAAACTTACGGACTCATTTGGTAGGATGTGGTTGTCAGCAGCGCTGAACTCTGCAACCAGCTCATCAGCCACCTCATTGTAGGAGGTGGTCCCTTTCCTCTGCACCTTCTCACACACCTTCATAGAGAAATGCCGTAGGCCCTTGCCATTCTTCTCACCTTTCCTGTTCCGCTTCCTTTCAAACACCAGAAAAATAGACACTATTAGTAGTCACAGGAGCCGATGTGAATCATGACACTTGCAGAGAAAAGGCCCAAGGCTGCAGAGCCCCCAGAGGCCCATTGTTCCCACAGCCCCACCACAGGCGGCAGGGACTCCGCCCTAACACAGGAAGGACACTGGTAAGGATCAGTGTTTCTCAGGTCAGAAAAGAACATATACAAGGCCAGTTCACACACCTGTGCCTTTAAATGTCAGGGAAGATGGACAGACATCCGAAGGGCAGACATCAGCATGGGTCTGATCCGGACCACACACTAGGCACCACTGTTCTAAAGACGTCTGCTGGCATCAGATCATGGCACATTTTAGTGTAAACTTAGGAATTTTCAGGGCTAATTTCATCAGGCTACCATGACCTAAGGCAAGTGCTTAGACTGATGGGCACGTGATAACAAGAGAAAACCCTGATGTGAGCGTGCAGTCAGGGAGCACACCAGATGTGTCACCCTCACTAAACCACACCAGGAGCAGTGACCAAGTTCCTCCGGAGTTTTGGGCACAGGAGATTTTAAATTAAAGGAACAGAGACATGGTTTCACAGTCGTGTGCTTTTAAGAAGGGACACAGTGGTAACCTTTAAAGACAACCACTTCACTTCCACGTCTGCTATTCTCTCGGTGGCAGTGCAGTCCCGAGGGACCATCCACGGGATAGTCCTGAAGTCGTACATAGAAGTCAGACCCTGTGGCAGTAGGTAAAATCTGCACGCTTATTCCCAGCCTGAACAGTGACAAGTTTCAAAGTGGTTGTGTCAGAGTAGAGGACAGTGTTCTCTTCTTTGTGGCCCAGAGCTCCAAATCCCCCCAAATCGTCGCTGGCAGGAGCTAGGCTTGCACCTTGCCATCTAGCCCAGACAGGGATGAGATGAGAGCTTTGAACTCTGTGTATTCAGGCACGCCCACTACAGACCATGTGACCATGGCCAGAGGAAAGAGGGAACATTCTAGGTAGTTGCCACATAAGGGTGGGAGTGCTCACCCAGCAGACCAAGGTGAGGAGTCAGACGGCTGGTTCTGAGACACAAAGTGAGTGTTGGGAGTGTGTGGGCTTCCTACCACAATAGTGTTTGATGCTGCAGGTCTCTGAGGCGTGCCAATCACCTACAGTCAAAAGAGAATTCAGAACAATCAGACCCCTCCCCTCCACATCATGGCAGTGCCATTTCTGTCACCTGCTTACGTAGGTAGTCACTGCAGCACCTCACCAGCTGTGGTGAGAAGACCGCAGGGAAGCAAATGTCCCATGGCAGCAACATGGGAAGTACTGACCACTATGGCTACAGCTGCTCTGCATACAAACTATGCCCATGAGCTCAGACAAGCCTCAGTCAGGTGGGCAAGCTTGAGAAGACAGAGAAGACCAGAGTGTTAGACTCTGGAGAGGACAAGGCAAGTCTCCCATGGCAAGAGCATGTGAGTAATACCCATACCAAGAAGGCAACTTACTGATAGCTAGATTTAATAACAGAACATTAACATATTTCTGGCTTATTTACTTCTAGACAAAGATAAAAACGTCATCTAAAGTATGAACATAAACAAAATTGCAAGGACAGACAGCAGGTACCTCCTCCAGTCCCTAAGTGACAGCAGCCTCTGTCTAGGCTGAACTGGTGCTTGGTGTCTGTCCTGCCTGTGTCACTTCTCTGCAGTTTTTCAGGGACCCCAGGGTTCAAAAGGGACAGGTGGCTCCCTTGGTCACACAAAGCTAACAGTCTACCTGCTCAGGGGTGATGGCTCTTGGGGGTCATGGTAACCAGTTCTGCCACAGGATTGATGGGCCGACCACTCTTACAGCACCCTACTGAGGACTCAGCAATGCCTCCCTCTGATGTCTTTCGGTACAAGGTCTGCTGTTTTGGGTCCCTCAGTTAACAAACAAACCTGTTCTGAAGACAGACACTGTCCTATACAGACAACTAATGTCTCAATATGTCAGAAATCTTGCTACATATATAACTCTAAGTCAAAAAAACCTCTGGTAAATCCCAAACTACAAAGTGACCAAATTCTATGGGGATACTCCCACAGGGGCTGATCCCAAATAACCCTTCTTTGCCTAATCAAAGTGTGGGTACACTTTGGGAGCACTAGGTCACTGTGATGGAAATGTTGGGCACACAGGAAGGGAAGTACATCTTGGCTCGCTCGCTTAGGTTGGTCTAGGGGACCCTCCCCATCCTCACAGACGACAAGAGCTTCATGCTGCCACAGGTAGTGCTTGCTGGTCACGTTCACACATCCCACACGAGCACGAGAGCTGTGTAGAGTCCTGGAGCTCATGGCTGTGAGGGACTTCAGTCTACTCTGCAGCAGGAAGAACAACAACCCCTGGGAAGACACACAGCAAGACTCAGAGGAGCCTGGGGTCACCTGCCTGTATCTGGCAGCTGTGCTTGTGCAAGAGGGCACTTGTGTCTGGCTTACCCATTGCCCACAAGGAAGTTGCCAAATGACTGGGTCTGAAGAAAACTGGCTCCCAGCTTCAACTCCTCCACACAGTACTTCTTGAATTGCTTTGCCAAGGAGGGTCGGGTGCCCCTGCCACAGGCAGCCTCACTTCTCACTGAGATCTACGTCCATCAGGACACACAGACACACGCTTGCCCAGAGGCCCTCTGCCTGTACCAGGTACAGCACACAGTGAGCTCCCCAACTCTCGGGTACACACATCTTCTCTGTGGATCTGACAACAGAAAGAAGCCAGGCTGTGCACAAAGAAGAGCTATCTACCCTTGGCATGCACATGTTCCAGCCTCCATAAGTTCGTGCACAGAATGCTTGGCATATGCTCAGCCCTGTGTGCCCATGCTCTCTGCACATGTGCACACACTGCTTAGAATAAGCTCTGGATCTGTGTACACATGCTGCTGGGATCAGAGGCAGCAGAAACAAGTTCAACTGCAGCAGTGGGAGGCCATGGAGGCAAGAGAGAAAATGGGAAGCAGACCAAGGAAATGTCAACAAGTGGGATGAGGAAAGAGGCAAAGGCAAGAGAGCCAGATGCCCAGGCCTTAAAAGAAACAGAAGAAAACTGGGTTGTAAAGAAGCAACTCCCTGCTGGTATGGCAAGATAAAGGCCTGCAGATAAAGCCCCAGGGAGCACAGTCATTTGGGAAGGAAGTGGGTCCCATTATTTTATCTGCACCCTGACAATGGGAGCAAGGACTCCCCTTGATGTGCACATGTTTCGTATCTGCATACAAGTGTGTGCAGCATGATGGTGGTGGCACGTACACACCTTTAATCCCAGCACTCAGAAGGCAGAAGCAGGCAAATCTCTGTGAGTTCAAAGCCAGACTGGTCTACAAGAGCTAGTTCCAAAACAGGCTCCAAAACTACAGAGAGAAACCCTGTCTCAAAAGAGAAAAGAAAAGAAAGAAAAGAAAGAAGAAAGAGAGGATACAGCTCAGCAATATGCTGCTTACTTTAAAACACATGAGGTCTAGGTTCAATCCCCACCACTACAAAGAACAAATACCCACCTACCTACAGTGTGTGAGCCCTGACACAGTACTATATTACAAAGCATAAAACAGCAAACACTGCACTCCTCCAACAAAGTTCAATTCCAATCAGATGTTGACTTTAAGATCAATAAAGCTTAAATAACCTCATATTAACTTCCTCCCCACCCAGTGGCGCACAAATTTTGCAAAGATAACTTGCTCAAACTCTCCGTGCAATGCTCACAGTAGGAAGAATGTTTTCTTCTCATTGCTGAGAAGAACCCAGATCCATACCACAGGGTTGCAGAGTCCTTAAAACCCAGGGCTCTCCCCACATACATGGCACTTACAACCCCAATGCTTCATCCAGGCACTAAGGAAGAAGAGGCAGAAGATAAAGCTCCGGGAACACGACACCAGCCTGGGCTACACAAAATTATCTCCAAGCCAGCCCGTGGTACATAATGAGATCTCACCTCAAACAAAACAAAAACAACGATGGGCTTGAAAGATGGCTCAGTGGTTAAGAGCCAATTGTTACTCATGCCAAGGACCCAAGTTTGATTCTCAGCACCCACATGGTGACTCACAAGCTAACTCTAGTTCCAGGAGATATGATGTTCTCTTCTGAAATCCAAGGGCACCAAGCACAAGTGGTACACATATAAAAATTAAAAACAAAAATAACAAACACTCGGAATCGCTGAAGACACATAGAGGACACCAGTGAGTGTAAATACTGGCACATTCCAAGTAAAGCTGAAGCACAGAATGACAAGAACACCCATGTGTGACTGCTCTCTGTAGAAAACCTGACTATGCTGTACAGCTGCCCAACAGCTGCCTAGAAATCTGGGGCTGAGGGACATCCGGGAACACCTGGTGCTGCCTGTGGAAACCCAGAGAGCAGAGGGACAGCTGGGGACACCTGGGGAAAGCTGTGGAGGGTTGATGAAATAGATCAGTTGATAAAGGTACTTGTCACCACCTGATGACCCAAGTCCAGTTCCCAGAACCCACAGGGTGGGGAAAAAGAAATAACTTCTGCAAGTTGTCCTCTGACCTACACACGTGCTCACCTAATACACACAAAACAGAACGCAAATAAATAAACTTTAAAAAATGTTAAGTTACAGAGTCCTAAGGCCCCAGGATTACTTGCGGGAAGCACCAAACCTCTTATTCCCACCAAGGAGGGTGCCAGCCCTCCCCAGAAGATAGTCTGGTGGGGTAAGATGCTGAGAAAAAGCAGCACACGGGCAAGGATAGAGGCATGCATGTCACGAAGGCCCAGGTTTCTCAGGAGCCAGAACACCTAGGGGCTAGGGCGAAAATCCAGAGCCATGAAGAAGGTAGGTGCTTAGATGAAAGACAGGAATCTGTCCACTGTTGGGTCTGTGCAAAAACACAATGACGCTCCAGCTACAGGTAAGTCTGCACGGCCCTATGGGGCACCTCATATTCGATGCATTACTCAATGAAGGAGGGGATGGTGCTGGTCCCTTCCTGTGGCCATAGCCACACAACCACACCCTTCCTCCATCCCTTTGCAGCTAGGAGACACAGTGGCTACAGAGGAAGGCCACAGAAGTTGGCATAACACACAGCAAAATCTCTAGGCTCAGAGCTCAGGCAAATGAAGCCATGGAGCAGAAAGCTTGCCCAGGCTTTGGTCATGGTTACTGCCATGTGTATAGGAGCTTCATATACTCCCTGACATAGGGGCACACTGAAGACACTAAGACTGAATGAATGCTGTTTGTACAACAGAAAGCAGTGCACACTTTCAGATCTAAATGCACCCTTGAGAAAGGAGTCACTCCTCAAGCAACCTGCACTGCTCAGGAAACTGTGGCCACAGCAACACTGCCCGCATCTAGCCCATCCCATAGGAACCAACATCCATGTGTCTTTCCACTTACCACTTGCTGTGTGATATTGACATTGGACTGTCCAAAGGTTTTTGGCAAAAGCTGCTTTCCGAGTGTGTTCACTGTGGATGGGTGGACAGCTACAAGAGACACCACACCTGGAACACAAGCACACAGGTGAGGAGTTAAATTGCTTCTCTGAGCTGAGGTTAAAGGGCAGTCCAGGAAGATGGTGTTTTTATCAAGCACCCAGCTTCCCTAGTTTTGACATTGCAGACCTATGGCTCAGTCACAAATGCTCCAGATTTGGACCTGAACCCTCCAGTTCCCTCTCTGGGGCATTGGCTAAGGAAGGTCCTGGGCCTGGGGATTAGCAGGGTTCATTCTACAGCAGGCACTGGACTTACCACAGCGGTTCCCCAGTGGCTGCTCCAGTCACTAACGGCCCATGCCCTGCCCCATCCTCATGTCTTGGGGGTAAACTGGCCATTTCTCTGCTCTAATGTGGTGAAATAAAGCGGTACAGCTAAGATGTTCTCCTAACATGAAGACTGGCGCACAGAATTCCCAAAGGCTGATGTTACAGCTCTACGAGAATGATTAGAACATGAACTAGAGCTAACTCTCACTAAAATAGTGTCTAAATGTATAATATATTATAAAGATTTTCAAAGGAACTCAGTGTTTTCAAATATAGCTGTATGGACAGTATCAACTACCACAATTCACAAAAAGATCCTAAAACATTACGTTCACATTTTTGTAATTGGTAAGCGCACCCTTCCAGTCTTCAGATTTAAGGCCGGAAATGACAAACATGTAAGACCTGGTGTTTCCCTACCACACCTACAAGGACTGGCACGTGAGTGCCCCCACCAGACCTTAGCCAAAAGGTTAACAAGTGAGGTTTCCCAGTTTCCCAGGTTTAGTTTATTCTCCTCTCGGTGCATGTCTAGGGGCTGAACCCATGTATCACACATGCCACGCAAGCACTCCATCTAAAGACCAGTGCAAGAAATGGCTTTAAGTAAATGGCCCCATTATCAAAGAACTGCATGGGTTCAAGGCAGTCCCCATCAAAGCACTAACGTTCTTTACAGGGCTAGAAGAAGCAGTCTAAAATTAGGAGGCATAAGAAACCCCAAACAACCGAAGTAACCATAAGCATAAAGAACAATGCCGGAGGTGTGGCAATACCTGATCTTAAACTAGAGCCACAGTGACAAAACCGACCCACAGAGCAACGCGTTAAAACAGAAGATCCAGACACAAACCCAAGGGGCTACAGACACTTGAGTTTCAACAGAAATGACAAACATGCACTGGGAAAAAAAGCAGCCTCTTCAAATGGTGCTGTAAAAACTAGATTTCCATATGCAAAAGAATGAAGCTAAATAATCCTGTGCAAAAATTCATTCAAAATATATCAAAGACCTTATCACGAGACCCTAAACTCTGAAACTGCAATATGAAGACAGGACAAACTCTTGATGCTAAAGGTACAGGCAAGGACTTTCTACAAAGGACTCCTCCAGTTGCACAGAAAATCACTCCAAGAACTGACCAACAGGGCTACATAAAATGCAAAGTGAGCACCAGTGAGGAGAGCTTACAAAATAGGAGAAAAATCACCAGCCACTCATCTAACAGGAGACTAACATCAAAATATAAAGAAATAAGAAACACCAAAGGTACAAATAAACCAATCAATAGCTGAGCAAATGAGTTAAGTTTTCAAAAGAAGTACAAACAGCCAGTTAACACCAAAACAATAATAAATAATAACTGTTCAGCAACTTTAGCCAAAGACAATGATAATCAAAACCACATCAAGAGTCCATCTAACCCACCAGAATGGATATCGCCAAGAAATCGAGTAACAAATGTTGCAGAATAAAGGGAAGGAGAACTCTTAGCACCACACCACTGGAGAGGACGCAAGCTGATACAGTCACAAGGAAAATCAGTGCAGAAGTTCGCTGGGTACTGTGCACATAACCATACCCAGACATGTGCATACATACGATTAGAAAGACTCACGTGCACATACACACACACATACACATGCATACACATGACTGAAAATAAAAGTCTGGGGAAACAAAAACTAGGGGATAGACAGATGGCTCAGTGGATGAGAGCACTTGCTGCTCATGAAGAGGACTGGAGCTGGTAGCCAGTACCCAGTGTGGCTCACAACTGTCTACAGCTCCAGGGTATACAAGGTTTCTTCTGGCCTCTAGGAGCACCAGGCACCAGGTATGCATACATACATGCAAGCAAACAAACATACACATGAAGTTTTTTTTTAAAAAAAAAAATCAATGCTGGGAATATATTCCAGGGCCTTGGACACACCAAGTAAGTGTTCTACCACTCAGCTTACTTTGTGTATTTAATCGCATGAACATTAAGAAATACATGTGATGTCATGAGAAACTCAAATGATAGAAAGTTACAAGAGTAATATGGGTCAACATACCAAATCTCATAGTTGACTTGCCAATTCCAAGCTAACACTGAGCTTGACAGGGGGCTCAGGGGTTAAGCCGACTGGCTGCTCTTCCAAAGCACCTGGTTCAGTTCCCAGTACCCACATGGTAGCTTACAACTATCTGTAATTCTAGTTTCAAAGGGTCTGATGTCCTCTCTGGGCATCCCTGGGCACCTGGCAGGCACATGGTGCACAGATGTACATACAGGCAAAGCACCCATACACATAATAAAAATTAAGATAAAAAAAAAAGATCAGCTAATACACCTCAGAAGAAATGAGGCCTCACACTGCAGAACAGAGGGGACCCTACTGCCCTCCTTCACCAACATCCTCACTTCCTCTCCCACTAACCCAACCCCAGGAAATTGGCTGTGCTCTCTCTGTACATTTTATTTCAATTTTTAAATTCTATGTAAATGAGACCACACAGCAATTTTCTGTTTCTGGGTTACTGCCTTAGTGCAACATCCTCCCTGCTCACCTCCACTGTGGCAAATGGCAAATCTTTACTTTCTTAGGACATATAATTCCCCCGGTTTCTTTATCTACTTGGCCACTGAGAGACACAAGTTGTTTCTGTGTTGTGTGAGTGTCTTTCCAGCAGTGACCTCACCTCCCTTGAGAAGAGCCCCCAAGAACTGCTAGTCCTGCAGCAGCAGCCATTTTCAGTTTCCCAGGGAGCAAGCTGGCCTTGCTATCATGCACAAAGGACTGGCGTGCATGCTCAGTAGCAGTGTGTCCCACTCCTCGAACAAGACCTTTACAGTTTCTTTTCAACTCTGTCTTAAAGTTTAGGTATTTTGCTTGCATATATGTCTGTGCACTACATGCATGTAGTGCCTGAGAAGGTCAGAAGAGGGCATCCAAGCCCCTGGAACTGGACTTATAGATCGATGGGAGCTGTTGTGTGGGTGCTAGGAAGAAAACAAGGGACTTCCGGGGAGAGCAGTGTTCTCAACTGCTGAGCCATCTCTCCAGTCCACCCTTAGATTTTCTAGTTACCCACTGGGTGTGGGCATCTCCAATGTTATGAACGGCACATACCTCCTGACCGTCTATGTCTCCTTCAAAACCCACAGTGAGCTATTTCACCCACTGTGATGGAAGCACTATTTGCTGACCACAGAATCCTGAGGGACCGCCTACACAGTGGGCTGCTGGTGGGTGCAGAAACATCTTTAACAGTTTTCTTCCTTCAAGGAGTCTCCAGAGAACACCATCCCCACACAGACAAGTCTCCTATTCACCTACACCACCTCTCAGGCTTAGGAAAGTGGGCGCTGAGCCTGCTTTAGTTTAGGTGATGTGACCACAAGACCCTCCATCATCAATCACACCACACTGCATCACTTAGGCACAGAGAATAGGGGGCACTACCCCTCCAGGAGACCCCACAGGGTCTGGTCTGGCTTCTGGAGCAGCACATCACCAAGGTCACCATCCCTTTCCTCACACAAGGCTTTCATCTTCAGATGTGTCACCGTGGTACTAAAAATGGAAAGTGAAGTTAAAAACAAAGGGACAAGAGCACAAAATGTGAGGTCTCTCCTGCTGTCAGGGGGTGAGCTATAAAAGAGGCTCATTAAATCCTGTGCCCCTCCACCTGGACACATCTCTATCTAACTGCCACACACAAGGCCAGGCAAAAATATCTGATCCTATGTTGGGGTGCAGTTCACCGTGCTAGCTAACACACGCCCAAGAACACGCAGAGCACATGAGGCTCTAGCACAAACACGCATTAAAATTTCTTCTCACCTTCAAGTCTCATTCTGAGGTCAAAGATACAACCCTGAAGCAGAAAGGAAATGCAGACACACTGTGGAGCAAAGCGAGCCCCATCAACTAGAGAGCACAGGCCACATCTGGAGTACCCAGAGAAAGAGGCAGGAGGCCAGGCTGGTCACACTACAGTAGCCTACAGCAAGCAAGGAGCTGGAGATGCCACTTCCTACTATGACGACCCTGGGTTTGAAAATCTTAGGACTTCTGGAAAGGGGATCAGACTAGTGTGCAAACAAGAGACAGAGCCCTGGGTAATGGTGACTGGTAAAAGGCGGTCACCAGCACTGCACCACTCTCAAGAGACTGTGGTAACGGCCAAGGGTCCAGTAACTGAAACCCCAGCAGAGACGGTGACTGTCATCCCAAAGATGTTTCCAGCACACACACAAGGATTGGGAAGGGTCTCAAAGCTTAGCACATGTGGACACTTCCAATTAAGCACACACGGACAGGTTGATGGCTCTCTGGGGAGCGTATAACCCCTCAGTTACTAGGCAGAGAAAATTGTGCCTCTGGGAAAAACTGAGAGAAGCATCAGATACCTAAGGAAGTTCAATAGCTTCTGCCCCAACCCTGGGGCAGAGTGAGTGTTCAGGAAGGAGCTTCTGACAGGTCTTTAGGGCAGAACCCTGTGGGCAATTCAGAGTCACAGAGGTAAGGACAGCCGCAGGTAGCAGAGAAGTCTGAAAACACAGTACCACATGCTAGCAAGGATGTGAGCAGCTGGAACCCACCTGGCACTGGCAGGAAGGAAGTGCAAAGATGCAGCAGATGGTGGCCCCAGGGCCCAACAACTCCAAAGTCACTCTCCAGGGGCAGTGAGCCCAGAGTGACAACACGTCACAGGCAGCCAGGACAGCTGTGTCAGAAAGCCTG